GACTAGTTCGATCGACATTTCGCCGCCCATGTGCGCGCAGCCTGCAGATGGATTTAACAATCTGCATGGTGTCTAGTTCCATGGGTTCTTTCTCAAAGAACCACAGCCATGGAAAGCGGCGGCGCCAGTACGATTAGTACATTGAGAACGGGTGTGGCCTGAATCGTGACGGTGCGACTAGCACCAATCTATGTACAGTCGTGTACACTTCAACGCTGAACTGCGACATGGGACCCTATATCATTGAGACGCTGCGAGCCTATCAAAAACATAGAATCTGGTGGTCTCCTGGCTTGGCAGGTTACCGACCTCAACTGCAGAAGTTACCATGCTACAATTCCTCAACATCGGGGCTTTTTGTCACAGTAGAAAGGATCAGAGTTCCGCCCAACTAAACGAACTTTAGAAGTGTACGGCGCCAACTTTCTAGACTTGGCTAGTTACATTAATAATGTACACAGGAAGCCTGCCACGTCAGCTAGGCTTCATATATCTTCATGGCCTGCTGGATGGAGACCCGACAAATTGGGCACCTTGGAACCGGCTCCTGACTTATCCTGCATTGAAGGCAAAGCGGCAACACGAGTATGTGACAAGTGCAGGTAACATCTTCAGGCGCCTTTAGCAAAGGCGCCTGACATATGCACCGCAGAGGCTTCATCTCAAGTGGCAGCAATGAAGCGAATGGTATAAGACCTGGTCCTTATGATCCTTATCTTTCAATCTTGCGATTTCAATCCTTTGAAATGGTAGTCCAAGACAAAAGTCGGTCTTAAGTTCGAAAACCCGCCATTTGTGATGGTCGCTTGGTGAATGTAATGTTGATGGAGTTCGCTACCTCAGATTCGAAGCAGAGTCTGATTTGAGATTTTTGGAAGCGGCTGCGGATAGTACTGATCAATTCGAAATGAATTCTAAGGAAATTGCAGCCGTCCAGAGTCTCCGTAACATTCCTGTGTTGCACATCCATGAACGAAAATTACCAGTCTCCTAAGACATTGGGATTCCCACGATTTCATTGAAGGCACGAGCGCTTTGAATGGGAAGAGAGCCCACAGCGACTGCATATCATTAAAAGTGCTGGGGCTCACCTTAATCCACAAGTAAAGCAAGTCGCCTTATGCCCACATGGAACAAAGGCCGTGTCCTTCCGCTCGCATTCACAAAGGGCACACATGTCCAGGGCTGAAGTCGGCTCCACCCTATCTGAGTCAGGTTCTTCTGAATCCACCTTTTTTAAGACATATTCTTCCCGAATATTGACATGGCCAATGCATGGTATGGGAAAAGGGAGACAAGCGCAAGCCTTAAGATGGGAGACTGTCGGGCCCACCAGCTTTTAGCTCGTGGAGGTTTTGGTTGTCCACATTGAGGACAGCTTTCCTTTGTGGCTGACCTCTCTTGCACTACACACTGCCCACATGCAATGAGGGCAGCAACTGCAACGGTAAAATGGAAAATGATTAGGAGACCCGCTTTTGAGTTGGTCATAGCTGCTTGCTACGCACTTGGCGGCAAGAGGATGTTGCTAGTTTAGATGCTACCTCTAACCCGCTTGAATTAGCTGCTGATGAAACAGACGACCTGGCACCAGTTTGCGCAGGCAAATCACCCCAAGGGGTCTGCTCTCTCAATGTTCATATGCTTCTTGGATTCTGCAGTCACTACATACCCTACAGCAACGAGAGTGTTGCTGCCAAAATCCTGCTCTGCTCTCGTTTTGCCTCTTCAATCCCCAAAAGTTGACGCGCTGAAAATGCTTCAGGAATGTCCTGATCACCATCAGACCTGCAACACAGAAGGTACCGGCACATACGTTTTGTGTTTGCAAGGAACGCTTGAGCAATTCTGGCTTCATATTGAAAGTTGATGGCTTCCTCATTTCAATTTACGTGCCAGCGATGGGGCTATCACAGAATGATTGAGGCCCACTGAGTTTTGCGAGTATGCGGAGCTACTTCCAAATAGCAAAATAGCATCTGAATTCCCGACTCAGGTATTGCAAATAACCCTCTGAGACCATCGTCCTCCTTATAACATGTAAAGAACTGACTCAGGTGGTGCAGTCAAGCAGCCCAGCGGCCTAGATTCTCACCCCACATGCTACCAAAATGGATTCATAGTAATCAAAGCAGAGAGAAATCATTGAGTGTGCTTGTCAGGTGATGTGGAGGGGATGTGGAGTTAGTAGAAGGACTGGCAGCTAATCTACAATCCTGACATCTACAAAAACGCAAAACTCACTCAACCACCCTCTACAGATTGAGCCCCCTCTGTCTCATAATGAACCACCAAGCGTTGGCATCCCAACCTAATATATGGTCGTCCTTTTGGAAGCAGTACATCTCAGCACCATACCAATGGACTCTTCAAGACAGCTGGGAGGTATCTTAACTTATTGAATCAGTACGGGGCCAGTAGCATCTGCAGATGATTGCCAATCAGCAGGAAACCTGACCGGCTCCCTAATGTTAGAGATTACAGCAGCAAGGTGAGCCGTTGATTTCTCTGAAATGTTGCTGGCAAACAGCTGCCAGCAGTTCAACTGCTTTTGACAAGGCAACTGTATCAACACTAGGCTACTTACTGAAGATGCCATACTAGTAAGTGCTAGTAAGGACGCGTATTTATGGTGATCAGAAGCTCGAGTAAAAGGGTTGGAGGCTTGTAGAAAAGGCTCAAGAGTCAAGGCCTTTTCTTGTTACCATATTCTTTTCCCTTGCGCTGCCGGTTGATCCTTACATGCTTCTCGACCATCAAACCTCCCACAACGCCAGCTGGTCCTGGCCCCTAGCAGTCACGGTGGCCCTTGCATGCGACCCCTGCATGAGTGCTTTGGCCCTAAGGTGCTTTGACGTCGTCCCCAAAAGTCTGGGGGACAGCCTTGATCAAACTTTGCCATCATTGTGCTTTGCCCCAGGCCAGGGGCATATCATAATGAGCTGAATCAGAGACCCCAGCGGCTTACAAGGATGTCACGCGCGCGCCCTAGCCTTTATCCGAGCACAGGCGGCCGAACGCCGCCTGATTGACGTCCGATGAAAAATCTTGACGGCTCCGATCTTATCAAACAATGAATGTGCCGCGCGCGCTTCAAGCACTGTACAGTTACAACCAGATTAGGTAGACCCCCATCAACCGACCGGACTCTCGGACCCTTCGTTTCTGCAATTCGTAGAGAGCTGGACTCGCTCGTCTCGAAGTCGGCAACGCTTTGGTTTATGCATAATGCAGATAAGTTGAGGTAGTCACTGGTTCGTCATCTGTAACCGGTAGCCGGTACCATACAGCTGGTCATACAAGAGATTGTGAAAGCGAGACGTGTCCAGAAATGATAATTGGCTAGGAGACGGTAGGAATCAAGACCCCCTTCTCACGTGCCAAGCTGCATCCTGAGGAAAGTCCGGAAAAACGTGCCGCAATTTGTAATGTAAAGCTGCGCGCGAGTGCATTTCAGGCACTAGGTTTTGCCCGGGAAAGAACACCGAGATAATCGACCGAGCACAAACTCCCATGGCCTCAGTGTTGAAATCCGGCCGGCGGTTTCCTCGTGGCAGGCAGGGCCTCGAATCCATTGAACCCGTACTAGGAGGTTACCGCCCGAAGGGCGGTGTCCCTCCTAGCCCATCTTGATTGGGGGACAGTTGATGGCACATACATAAGCCACAACGTTAACGGACAAAGGATTGCTGAACCAAATATGACTCCGACCATTGATGATAGCATGCAGTACGTGCTTCAAGTCAGCCTGGTATGCAGGGGTATGCACAACGGTTTGCCTATGACAAGCGATATGCTGACTGAAATATAGGTATATTGACGGACCCACTGTGGTCTATTTTGCAAGTTCTGAATGTCTGGAATGACTGCATCATTGATGACTGTCCGATGATCATTCGAGTCAAATCAACGTACTAACATTCGTGGCCTCCCTGTCATCATGGTATGCCAAAAGGTCCAAGTTCTGGCACTGTCTGTCAACATGATTCCCGTTCCGTGTCACTTCTAAGACCTTAGCATAGATCTGCCTTTGAGGCCAACAGCAAAGGGGCGCAAGTGGAAGGTTCGCGTACATGATGGATCCCTCCTTCGCCACCGTGACGAAAGGGAAGGAGAAGGTTGTTGATCATCCTGTGATGGAAACGCCCCCCCAGTCGCCAGCTGTCGATCCTCCTTCCAGGCCATTGGTCTGCCTATCATGGAATATCCAAGGGCCCTTCAGTGGTCCGGGCTCAATAGCAACCAATAGGCTTGTAACCGAACTGATACATAGGGGAACGCCCAAGGGCAAGGTTGACTTATTCTTTATCCAAGAACCTCCTTGGGTAAAGAAAAATTTCTTACCTGGTCACTTTGAAAAGCTGGCCCACAAGGGAGAGTACGATTATCACGGCAATGTTCTAAGAAAGTTAGAGAAGAGAAAGTTCACACGCAAGCATGCCGGGATCCTGTTCAACAAGGAGAAGCTTGACCTTGTCAAACCCGTCGACCTGAGGGGAAAAGGGCTAAGCAACATGCTTGAGGAGAAGCACAAACAGAAACTGAAAGATGGACTGCAGCGGGGGACTTATTATGCTGATCGGACCGTCGCCTATCAATTTAGGGAACGGAGAACCAGTCGGCACTTTCTCGCCATATCGCATCATGGGGAGAATGTCAAAGAAGGAAGTTGCGACCCTCATAAGGCAGAGAATGCTAGAATGCTGCTAGTACTGGCAGAGTACGTGCGGGATCCCAACAATAAGTTGATTGACAGAAAGTACAAGGGAATGCCAGCCGTGATAGCGGCAGACTTCAACGTGGACTTGGCACCGCGCAGTTGCTGGCAGATTGATGGCCGGCCAGACTCGAGAATGTGGATGCACAAATGGTTCCAGCTTGACAAGGACTGGGTGCTCCCGAAACCATCAAACCGTCTGAAAGCGGAAAAGATTGCCGAGCTACCGCCAGAAACCTGGAACGAAAAGTCGAATCCAAACGTCAATTCCGGAAGGAGAGCAATGAAGCCTGCAATTGACTACATCTGCATGGTCAAAGCGGGAAAGGCGGAAACTCAGCTGGTACAAAACCTCGAGATCGTGAAGCTGTTCCCAATTCCAGTCGTGGAAGACGGCAATGTCGTATTTCGCCAAGCGGGATTTCCTACAGCCGGGGCGCATCTGCTGAAAGACATCACGGCAGAGGAATTGGAGCCGTTGTGGAAGGACCTGAAACCGGAGGTGTTTGGGAAGTACCATGACCCGTTCCGCTTTGTCATTGACCTGAGCTCTGCTCCCGTCGTTGGGACGCCTTCACCAGCTGGCAGGTACGGCCCGAAGCTCCGCTTTGAGTGACTGACCTGCCTGTATCGCATTTCCAAAACAACACGTCACATATAATTGGCAGCTTGATAACCAAGAGGATGCTTCCCTCGAGATCAACTTAGGGGTTCAGGAGAGTCAAGAAATGAGAGAGCACCTTTCGAGCAAGAACGTCTTGTCATCGAGGGTGCATTAGAAAATTTTCAAGTTCTCAACCTTGTTGAAGACTACGATATCAGATTAGCAGATGGTCCCATTTCGGATGCGCTTCGTATGCGCAGTTTTTTGTGTTCTCCAAGCTGATTCACTTCATCGCATCCGCCACAAAACGTGCTTGGATCGACCTGATTTTTCCTTCTATACTGTCTCCAGCAACACATCGTCACCGGCAGCTTCACCTCGGCCTGGCTCGCCCACCTCTGCGAGTAAGACTGCAACCACCTTCGAAAGAGACAAGCGAGGAGGTCAATACTTCCGTGGAGACCTCTCCATGCTCTAGCCCGTCAGGCAAAGCCTGCAATCACCAGACACCCAGTGTATGATACATTGTCTTTCAGTCCACCTGAAATCTTACTCTCAGAATGCCTTCTTTTTGTGCTGTGGCATCTTTAAGGTTGGCGCCTGTTGATGTATCGAAGGTCCAGCTCGGGACATAGAGTGGGCATATCCGGACGATGCTTGTGCGCAGCAGACAGTGATACGGCAATTTCTGATTCCTTCCGAGTGGCAGAGTCGTTCTTCTTCATGAAAAGGCGAGTTATGATGCAGCTCCGACTTTCTGCCCTGCTGGTATGAAGGAGGATGCGTGACCTCACTGGTTGCTGAACGCTCGGGCTTTTCTGTTTCTCTAGGCTCAACGTCAAGCACGTCTTTTGAAGACGCCCCGCCTAAGAGCGAGCACCAGGCAGCTGCCGACGACATTCCATCAACCTCCGCTCCTGCCGTCACGACAACCACCCACTACATCAGCCGCCAGGGTGACGAGTTCAAAGCAACTATTATCTCCTTCCAAGACGGGGGTCCGGTCCAACAAGGCCCCATGAAACTGAAGAAGTACTACTCGGACTACGCCCATGGCCAGTTGGCGAGTCCGACGCACATAGTGTTCACGAACGGAGTTCCGCCCGACTTCTTTCAAAGAGGCTGAGCGCCGGCAGGGGAATTACAATCAAGTGATCAGAGCTAGAAAGCAGACTTAGGTTGAGTGCTATACAAGTGGTTCCGCAAACTATCTTGTCCTTTGGAAGAAGGAGTATCACGCCGAGGCGGCGCTGCGGTTCAATTTCTGTCTCTTCGAAACGACATCATGCTTTGAATTCTGATACCCGCGCACCTAATGCATGGTACGCGCAGTTTGGCGCATGGATTTCGCTATGGACGGAAGTCTGGTGTGCTGGGAGCTTCCATAAGACTCCTCTACCATATCCGACATTGAAAAGAATTCCGTGGAAATTTGAAGCGCTGTGCACGTTAAGGTTGAGTATCTCGTCGACCTTCTCAAAATGACACAACATCTCGAGTACTTGCCTTGGAGGCTCGCGCGATCACAGAACTCATCCAACTTGCGATCATTGGCCGGTTGCTTTTCATCAATCATGTGGGGCGGCGCGGCCCCAGGCTAATTCAAGTTTCCTCGATCCGACGTGGCGGATCTAAGGCTTGCCCCGCTTACCAAAGCAGAAATTCGACTAGCCCAATTATATGCAGGCATGAGTACTTTGGCAACTATATTCGAAGTGCGGGCCGGCCGCCAAAGACCGATGATGAACTTATGCACGAGTCCCCTTCGCCCCACGCCGCCGTACTACAACAATTTTGAACAGTTTCATTTACAAGAGTGTTGACATAGCCGCCATGCAGTGATGAATGCAATTTCCGGCGTGAATGTGACAGAGCTTAAGAGTCATTGAAGACAACCACCCCTGCCAGCCTGAGCGTTGTTCCACAACAAACAGTAGCTTGCGAAGACCCTTTCATGTTGAAGGATAAACATCACATGCAGCTAGGGCGCGTCGCGACGTAGTACTAGACATATCGATACGCTCATCCCGACACTGACATGCATACGTGCCACGATGGATAACATGACACGCGGCTTTGAGGGACTAAGAGATGATTGGAGGGAACCCGCATGTCGAAGCTAGCATGCGCCCCGCACCCCCCCATTCACTTCGTTAGAAAAAGACCATCGCGATCTTGTAACGGGCATTGATATATGACGATCTGTTTCCGCTCTAGTTCCTACATTATCCGGCTCTATGTGCTGGATCTTGACCTGCTGCAGGGAAGAGAGCACGGCGCTTCCCCACCTGGACCTCAGCTCTCGGAGTCCGTCACTTTATGCCGCCGGTCAGGAATGAAAAGCGCTTCCTTATCTCCTACCGTCGTTTCGTGAACATTGCCCCGCCACTTATACTTGACCCGCAATTCCTTCTCCTCACCCGGACACGGGTCGCAGAAGCCCATCAAGCCCGCCTTTCGAATGCCCGGGTGTAACTGCACGTGACGCCAAGATAAACCGGGCTTAGAGCCGAGCTCTAGGGTAGGCAAGAGCAGATTTGAGGTTCAGAGAGTGTTGTTTCGCTTTCCACAATCGCTCTCCCCGAAGAAGCAAGCCAACTTTCAAGCCGAAAATCCAAGCTTCCCGCTAGGAATATCTGCTAGGAAGATTGTAGAGCCGATATCCATTGCAAATTCCGGTCGTGGCGCCCAACAGCCAGCAAAAGCAGCGGCCAAAATCACCGAGGATGCAAGCAAGTTGGAAAGCTTTTCCTTTTCACAAGCACATACGATGCTGAAGTAATGACGACAATCTTCGGCTTAACGGCAGACCGCACGACGCCGCAGCAATCTATCTTCCGTGCTAGTCAACTTTCGGTTGACTTCAAGGAGCCAAAAACAGGTCGGAATGGTATCCTGTCCGTGCCGCAAAGCTAGCAGTGGGAACGCAAAGCGAAGTTTTTAAAAGCAGCTGACATTCCCAGCCCCAACGACCGTTTGCGAAAGGTCCTACTACACGTCGTGAAGTGCGACTCAACGAACATTCGGTAGTCGATGCAGCCGTGGGCTTTGATGGGCACCCTTCAATCAGCGAGGCTCTTTCTTCAAACCCGACTGGAGCCGAAGTCCAGAGCGTTACTGGCAACTACTCCTTTCTTCCTCTCAATCGCAGAGAGGCGTCTAGACTCACAGCTGCGAGATGCTCAAAGGCAAGCGCGTTGAACCGCCTTGTCATCACTGAGACGCAGGTGCAGAGCACCGCTCGCGCAAAAGGCCACCGATGGAAAGCCAGTCCCACCGCTCTCAAAAACACACCTTTCGGGAAAGGAACAAACGCGCAGAAAGACTAACTTTCGACGACCTCAGACGACTGACCTTGATCGCGCTATCGTCGACCAAGAACTGCACCGGAGTCGTCACGTCCAAAAACGGCGGCGGCAGGCCCTCGTCTTGTCCGTCATGCCCCTCCTCCTCAACTTCCTTCCCCCGGTCACTTTCCCCGTTCTGTCGTTTCTTGCGCGGCTTTATACACCCGTACACGGCTTCGACGATAACCAGCCCCGGGTTGGCCCGGTTCTCCTCGTTCGCTTTTTTCCGGCTGGCGCTCCCGGACATGAGGTCCTGCACCCCCCGCGCGGCCTCAATGGACTCGCGGACCTGGAGAAGGTGACGTGTACTGACGTCAGCAACGCGTTGTGAAGACGCGCGTCGGTGCCATTAACAATCATACAAAGGGTTCTGCACCCTCCATCCTGCGTCGATGGGCTCTTGAACTCGAGGTAGTCAATTGGCATGACATCAGCAAGAGCAGAGACATACCACAGGCGATGCGGATGGTACTAACGGGTAATCGCGGACTTCTTCTATCCAAGAATGCGAGGCAGCTCTTCATTTCTTAACAATCACCTTCCGAAATACGAAAGACCCCTTCTTGTTGGAAAGGTCCCTAACTGATGACAGTCTCGACTATTATTGGTACCAGGTAGTAATCGCGAACATTCTTGAAGCGGATACCTGGCTCACAAGGTCCAGCAATCTCTCAGAATCCTTCGGGAGCTCCAACCAGCCCGCAACCGTAATACAAAATGGAAACGAAAATACGGACAAACAACATCCGCTCGCTGACCTGTTGTGCGTTGGCCCGACGAGCCGCGAGCGTCTTCCGTTTCCGGCGCTTGATGGCCGCGGGCTTCAAGTAGTAGTGCTGCGCAAGACCAAAGCAGACCCATCAGAGACCGCCACACCAAAGCAGACCCATCAGAGACCGCCACGTGGCATGAGGTGAGCGATGGAGGAAAGAGTATTGTGGACGCCTCTTACGGTGCTTAAGTGCTGCGAGCTTTGAGTACGTGCCTCGCTTAGCAGAGGGCAGGAAACGATGAATAGTCAGAAACGTTGAAGTAAGCATAGATGACGATCGCTGATGAGGATCGATCTTAACTGCGGCGAGTTTTTGCACTGATTGTGTAGCATAGCGGGAGGGTTGTGGATAATAGCAGATGAGGATGGACAGCTGGAGGAAAAGTCAAGTTTATCTCGTCCAAGAACGCCGTCACTGCCTGGCAAAGTGAGGAAAACCAAAGCTCTCTTTCCCTAGTCTTGCCCTGATGCCAACATGAGGTAGGTACTGCTGAGGCGAAAGCAGAGGAAACGCCGCGAAAATGTTTCAGCTATTCCAAGATTTAGCAGGCCTACAGTCCACTCTGTTTGAACGTGAATAGGAGCGGAGGAAAATGGGAAATTAAGCTGGATAGGAGAGGGGCAAGCCCGTCGGCTTACTCTAACCAAAGCGTACAGTGCCGGCGGGAGGCACAGCGCGGCAAGGATCGTGAACGGCTCCAGCTTGTCGGACAGCAGGATCTGCGAATGAAAGACACGTGTCAGCATGTCCTTGCTAACTGCAACACATGAGCGGGCTGTCAGCTGTACTGAAGATCGAAGGAGCATAGAGTTCTGCGGGCGCAGGCTTTCAAAAGGGCGGCCCGCCGATCGTTCCACCTCTTGATCGAGAGCCCTCCGTTGCCGGTAACAAGTCAAAGAACGCCCGCTCGATTTCAAAAGGAAGCCACTCTTCATACCTAGACTGAGAATTGAGGACAGAATTGCGACAACCACCGTGTTTAGGAACGTTCTGGCTCTGGACCGGAGCTCGACAGGCCCTTGTGCTGAAGCACAAATTCTTTGAGGACATGTAAAGCTTGGCTCTTCTTTCGGGCCGGGAGCGGGGCGTCCGCAATCTTGAACACCCAGTCTCTACTTCTGAGCAGAGCGGCTGCTTGTTGTCTGTATGCACGAATCACCGAGCAATATAATACGACCAGAAGAACCGATGTTAAATCGAGAGCGGATCCATACAGCAATGGGAGAAAGGCAAGGCGTGCTTCCAGGCCGCTTTGATTGCTCTACCTTTTCCAACCATCCGCTTAACTTACTAAAAAGTTCTTTGGGCTTTGCGATACTGAACTTATTTTCTCCAGAAGTCTGAACCGCATCCTCAGCCGCTAGGCAAAGTGGGTAATGCATCAAAGTAAGAGAACGGGGTTGTGGACCCCTCAGAGATGTCACTTACTGGGATGATGAACTTCTGCCCCCCTCGGGTGTAGCGAATCTTCCACAGCACGCCCTGCCCAAAAGCAATGACGATGTTAGTTTCTTTCGTGCTTTAAAACGATAAGGCGCAGGGAGGAAGCTCGCGCAAAAGTTTGGAGACTTTGACGAGCGAATGCGGTGCTCGAAATGCTGTTCCCAAGAAGGGTTTCTCGTCTATATGAAAGCTCACAAGTTTTGAGCACAGCAGCAACGGTCACAACAACACAGTATTTCACGCGCAGCTGTCAAAGGCGTTGATTGCCCTGAACCAGACGTCTATGAACAGCAAAGGGTAGACAAAACGAGCAGTCGTACAGAAATGCTTTCACTAATTGCAAGTCCGTCCCTTCGATTATCTGGGTGTACACGCTGCTTCAAACATCCATGTCGTTTAACAAGACGGCAGGGAACCATTTGCCCAGCGGTGGCGGCTCGATATCGAAAGTGCCTTAAAATCGGATTCGCTGCTTGCACTTTCCCAGTATCATTTCGGGGGTGCGACGTTGAGTTGTAAGCTAGCTTCCATTGAGATACGTCAACGCAACCCCCTAAAGTCGGGGTCTCCCCTCGGCTGACGACCCCACAAAGTGCACGCGGCCTTAAGTCGAACTTGGCTTCCAACCGCAACCCCTGAAGTTAGATGTCTAAGCGGCCGGCGCCCTGTCGAGCGCTCACCTGTACCCCCACAGTACACGAGAAGCCCCCCGAGCTCCGTTCCGACAGGATTCGGTGCGCCCCAATCTCAACCTCAATCGCCGTACTGCAGAGAAGCAGCAGCGTACATCATGTCACACCGAAAAATGAAGTTGGATGCTTGGAAGGCAAAGGGGATGGATTGGTGACAGGAAAAATCTGAACCTGGCTACGCGGGGAGCAACGGACGACCTTCGATGATATTCTCACAAGGTCAAAAGCCATAGGGCTTTCCTTCCTGTTACGACGGAATTCTTGCTCCTTTGCTCTTGATTCCAGTGACCTCAACCATAAGAGGGAGAAGCGATTATCGGAAAGGTCGCGGCCTCTGTTCAAGAGGATAAGTTCTGTGTCTCTCCTCAGGCAAGTCTCTTGTAGGGTAACGCATGTCCGAAGACAAAAAAGAGAATGAATGCAGAAGTTCGTGTGAAAAAAGTCCAAGTATTGGGACGATGAGGACCTGACCACAAAAACCCGGTGTTCTATAGAAGCGTTGTCGCAAATTGTACCCGCCAGGCTCTGAGGGCAAGCGCAAGTCGATACAAGGCTCAAATTAGAAGCCAGCGTTATCTATTTTCAGTATCCTTCCCGTAACTGGGTTAAGAAAAGGTAAGACCTCTTTGTGAGCGAACCCCGGTTGCAGCTTTGCGTCACCGTTTGTCCTACTCAACTTGACGAGCTTCGCAGTTGCTCAATAACCTTACAGCTTCTTCCTAGCAAACCGCCGTTGTCCAGTGCAAAGTCTAGTCTGATTCAATCAGTCTGGTACTGAGCGAAAGCAGCCCAGATCAGTGTAAACAAGCTGTTCGAAAGACTCTGTAAACTTGCAAAAGAGAACTCACATTCCAATCTTGGCGGACACCTTTCCAAACGACTTGTCCGAAAAGTGGTGCACCCAGTTTCCCGCTACCCCAAACGCCGTCCCCATACGAAGGTCCCCTCGGAGCGAGTTTTTGGTCCCGTCGCGGCTCCAGCCGACGGCGACGCCCATGTCGGGGCCCAAAGTCAGCGCGATCTGCAGATGTATATTGTACTGCTCTTATATTGAGGAAAGCACTCTGCGGGAGTTGGAAGATGGAAGATCAAAAACTAAACGAGTACCATTCCGGGGTTCAGCCGCCAACTGATAATCAGACGTGAAGGGGCAAAACAGAATACTGGATTGATACAGAATTCCGTATCTTTGCGGCTCCACCCGAGGGCGACGCCCATGTCGGCACTAAAAACGAAGTATTCAGGCGGAAATGGAAATCACGAGCATGTCGATCCAGCATTGGACTGGAACAGACTTTCGCATTGACTCGCCAAGATAATTGCAGTCGACCGACGAGGGCAGATCACAAAAAACCTGCCAATCTAAGCGTGGAGTATAAGGATACTCCTTTTATATTGGGTTGAGAGCAAGGCAACGAAGTTGCAAGCCCACCCGAGCAATGAGCAGTCCCTTTCGAAGAAGCGCACTTTGCTAGTGGAAGCAACAGCGGGGCCACGGCTATCAGCGGATGACTTCGCTATCCTCCTAACCTAAAGAGCACTTAGAATCAACGTCAATCAGTGCCTCTGACGTCGGTCGAACTTCGCTGGAAGAAGCATCACTCAGGCCGAGATATCAATGAACGAATCGGCTGGCCTTCTAGCCAGTGGACTTTGAAGCCAAACAAACACTCGAGAATCACCGGGAGCTGGTGCTTACGTCACCCCTGACGTTGGGCGTCAGCTGGCGGCTCCAGGCGCACGTCTGCGAGAGCGAGCCGTCCTTGATGTTGTAGTTCGCGGACAGCGAGGCGGTCATGTGCTTCGACAATTGCCTGCAGCACAAGAGCGCAGAAAAGATGACGTCATGCTAATGGTTGAACTTAAGACTACTGCAGGCTGCAATAGCGGCTTGCAATCGTCCATAAGATCCAAGGAACGAACTTTTGTGCTTTCCAACCCGATCAGTACTGCGGGGAAGCGCTTTTTGAGTGCTTCGACACCTGCCTGAATTCGACCTGCAGAACAAAACGTCATGCTGATGAGGTTTCTTTGTTGAGTGTGAGTGCGGGGCTGCAGTAGAAGCTCGTATAACCAGGAGTGCGCAAATGTCACTGGATTCGTTGAATTTTCCTGCCGCTGCATTTTGCAGGGATGCGTTTCGTATGTGCTTCGATAGTTGATAGCGCAAGGAAAGCCAAAGCTGACGTCATGCTGACGTCACGCAACCAGAGTACCAGAGAGGTGGCAAACGCGCCGCAGACTTCCCAAGTCGGAAGAACACATTCCGCCGTTTACGTGAAACCGCATCAGTCAAGCCAGGCACTGTAGAAAGAAACAACATCTTCAGATTCTAACTCAGCACAAAACCTCACATTGTCGTAGTTCCGGTCAGGATCCCTCTTTTACTTGAAACCGCATTAGTGAAAGCCAGGCACCATAGAAAAGTGCAATATTTTTTGGGTTCGAACTTAGCACGAAAGCTCACATTGTTGTAGTTCCCGTCAGGATCTGTCGGATGCCCAGCACGGCCCCCGCTTCGTACGAGAACCGGGAGTCTGCCTGGTGCTTCCAAACCAGGAACTGGTTCGCCACGCCGTGCCCGCGCTTGACGCCAACGCTGCCACCCATGATGAGCGTATCTTTGGGAGAGATGGGGGCGGTCACAGTGGAGTTGATGGAAGATCTGCGAGAAAAGGCGAAACGGGGGGATCAGTTGAACTCAAGAGTGTCAGTTCTGGGGCCCGGCTAACCCCACGCTGTTCGAGTTCTGAGCGGTTCCTTAGGAGAGATCGGAGCAGTCACAGTGGAGTTGATGGAGGAACTGCGAAAAGAAACAACAGGGGGGGATGAGAAGATTCGAATCTATAAACAGTCAGGGGGAGGTTGCTGGCAGTACTCATTCAGTCTTGGCAACCGCTTCGCACTGACGCTGCGCTTCAGGATGAGCGTATCCTTCCGGGAAATGGGGGCGGTCACAGTGGAATTGATGAAAGAACTGCAGTGAAAGTTACTTTGTAAGGACAAGGTTGGAAAGGGCCTTGGATGATGACATTCTTTACAGGAAGCTTTAAAAGCAGAGTGCGGGGTAAAGATACTTTCGTATCATACACGACAGGATCCATATGCGGTAGAGATGAAGGAGGACCTGCGGAGGAATTCGGAAGGGGAGCGCTCTGCAGATGAAAACGAAACACCAGCTGCTGTCAGATCTACCTAGGAACGCGGTCAAAGGGGATTATGGAGGTAGCGCGGAAACAAACGGCACGGGAAGTGGCCTTCGAAACAACGTTGCAAGCCTGTCTATCTCATATCCAATTGCAAACGGCGTTCGCTGACCGGTGCGTTTGGCTTTCGGGCGACAAGAAACATTGCTGCACTACGTTCCGTACTGAACTATCCGACAAACTGCTTCTTTATCTAACATTTGGCAGTACCATCTTCGAAATCTCTTGCATAGTCAACGCATCAGTGCTGGAACTGTGGTCCCTGCCGATCTGGACTCTACAGGCTTTAGAGAAGGATTTCGGGAACAGATCGAAGGTCTCCCCATGCTTACGTCAGTTGTTGCACGCCTCTCCTCCGCCAGTCGTTGATGGCTATGCTAGTCAACAGGGTGGACGTCTGGTTGAGCCGGGACTGGAGCTTGTTTTCGCTCTGCACAGAAACCAAAAGGACTTTTACGGGAAAACTTCAGGCAGCTAGAGTTGTGACTTGCGAGCGCCTTGGGCAACAGCCACAACGAAAATCTATGCTCAGCTGTGATTCGATGTTTTTGGGGCAGCTAGAAATAAGTCAGGAAGCTTTGCACGTCTTCAGTTTTCTTCGAACTATTGCGCGGCCCATACCAGGCTCCGTTTCCAGAAGCTTGTTGCTCCGTTGCCAAGTACTAAAACGGCCACAAGACTCTTATTCATGATAATTGAAAACTGACGTGCCTTCAAATGAATCACACGACTTTCCGATGAACTGCCGAAAATTTCCTAGCCTAAGAACAACTCAGAAACTGCTTGGAGACTCGTCCTTGCACAACAACCGACTGATGTTGCACATAATTGGACTTGCTTATGAACATGCTAAAAACCCTCCTTTCATTTCGAGTCTGAAGAGCCTTCACCTGCCGCATTTGATACAGCTCATAAGCCTTTCGCATCTCGTCCTTCATTCCGAGATGCTCCCCCAGGTCCATCCCCGAGGCAAGGCCCTTCTTCCCGTAAATGTCATAGATCTGGGGCACAGGAGGCAAGGAATCAGACAAAATGAGGCCCGTCTTCCTGGTTTTGTCATCAATCGGTACATAGGACGGAAGGTTTGAGTCAAGACTAGGCCCTTCTTCCCACAGATGTCATAGATCTGGGGGCACAGGAGGGAAGGAATCAGACCGGATGAGGCCCTTCTTCCTTGGTTGTCAACGATTGAAGCTCAGGAGGACAGAAACTCGACAGTGAGACCCTCCTCCTTGTAATTGTCAAAGATCTGGGGCACAGGCAGGAAGGATTGAGGCACACTGGAACATTAGGCCCCACCTTTAGGTAGAGGCATAATACCTTGTTTAATATAATTAAAAGCCAGTATTTTTACTGGCATAAACCTGGACCTTCTGTTCTACTCCATCCAAAAAGTGGTCCTTAATTCGCTTAAACAGCCCATGCGGATTGTATAAAGTCAACCTATCTCACAATATTCTCACTCAGATGGCCAACGACCTTTCCTTTCCGTTCCCCAGGCTCACCTCTCTCCTCTGTGGATCGCTGAGGGTCTCGTATGCGTCCCGTATTCGGTTGAACTGCTCTGTTGCGACCGCCTTTAGAGCGGTTGAGCCTCCAGGGACCTTGTCAGGATGACACAGCATTGCCAGGCCGCGGTAGGCCTTGAGAAGTTCGTCGTCCGACGCGTCTTTTGGAACGTTGAGGATGCCATATAGGTCGAGGTCTGGCTCCTCAACCTGACTACCTAGCCGGCGCTGCGCCATTGTTTTGCGAGTCTCTCAAGAGTCTCTTTCCCTTCCCTCCTCTTCTTAATCCCCCTCTTTCTTTTTGCTCTTTACATCAGTCTTCTGTCACTGTCCTCATTCCTGTCTTTTCACCACTTCAGTTCTCTACGGCAAGCTGTTGATCCGGAATCCAATCTCCCCAACAGAAGTGGGGCCTAACGGGATATCCTACTTCCAAAAGTGCTTTTCATCCCTGAGCTTGGGAACACCTGCAGTAACGCACCAAATTGAAGATCCTGGAGCCGTTTGAGTAATCTCCAAGCTTACTCTTCGCTTGACCTGCTGCTCTTAGAATCTCAAGACCTCTGGTGGTGAGTCCGAAGCTTTCTTGAGAAAGTTTCCGGCGGCGCTTTGAAAGCTCCTTATGTAACTCTGCAGCTGCTATCCTCTACACATAGAAGGATGGTCTGCTCCGGTGCAGGCCTGCAGAGTAAAGTTTCTTCTTCACTTGCATTTTCCACGGAAAGAGCAAAATAAAGTTAACGGAGAACTCAACTACAGCTACTCATTCAAAGACTTACCACCACCAACGGTCCAAGGAAGGGTCACTTTTGAAGAACGCCACCCTGCAGGAAGTAGTGCCGACAGTTCCCCAGGACAGACTTTTTTACAAGCAGACAGACAATATTAGAAAACATGTCAAGTTGATGGTGTCCGTTCAATATCAAAGTACAAGAAGCAAAGTCTTCTGCCTGCATGTAAGCTCCTAATTCCAACACGACTCCCAAAGAAACAGACTTGGAACAGAGTTCAGAATGTTTAAGATCCTCATTACTATTGCGAAACATCATACGACACCAGTGCACAGCATTGCAAAACTTTTCGAGAAAACAGGACACTCATGCGCGTACCGGTATTCGCATGTCGCTTGGGGGTGTTCTTGGGACCAATGCTGTAGCTTTAGAAAAGCTTTGCTCCTGAGCTACAACATTCTTTCGATCAGGTCCATGCGCTAATTTCAATTTTCAGGAAAAGGGCCAAGAGCAAAAGTTTTGCTGGAGAGGAACCTTTTCAAGGCTTTGCTTGATGACCACTGCAAGGCAAGTTTGTCATAAGCGATGAGCACTTCGTCCCATAGGGGGACGGTATACCTAGGTGGAAGAGAAGGTACTATACGCCGACGTTGCTGCCCCACCCCTGCTGACCAGATTGCCAAGGCTCGCTGTACTGTTCGGAGCCCTGGATTCTTGTTTGCCTATAATACAATAAAGTTAGCAGTACGACCTTACGACGTACCGTATATCTGCATACGGTATATGCTATACCGGTACTACAGTGAGGCCCAGGGGCACTCCTGACTCCTGATTCCTGAAGGCTGAAGCAGCATCCTGCTGATTGGACTCGGAGCATGGAAAGTGGCTGCAGATGACCAAAGACGGTAGGTCCAATTAAGGCATCACGAGAAGTTGTGGAGCAAGGAGAGCGCTTGCAACACAGCTCCCCCATGCCAATGAGGTTGTAAGTGGTTAATTTGCATCTCGCATACCACAAGCAAAGCTCATCGGGCAGGTAATGTCGGGCTAGTGGTCAGGCGAGCAGGTGCACCAACTTTTTGAGAGCAGTGCTCAATTCATCTGGAGGAATCATTCATTCTCTCCTTCACAAGATCAACTCGGTGGAGTTGGCAAACAAAAGCAGGGTAAACTGAGAGCTTACGGCGGCATCAACTTCTGATGGCTGCAAAAGCGGCTGCCAATGACGGCGCCAAGAATGTGGTGCCGAGTATAAGCGCTGTGGCACCCACTGATTGGACCACGGCAAGCGAGAACCCAAAGCTAGAGGGGTGCGGAGCCAAGGGGACTGATTGCGAAGAGTGAGCTCAAAACACAGTCTCTGGCTTGGAAAGTGTGGTCGCGATTCCAGGCGCCACACTTGAAGGAGGAGACAGACCTTGTACATTCTAGTCTTTCAAAAAGATCTGGCGCAAAGAAACTGTTCTGCACCCCCTTGTCAGATTGCTGCCAGTGACGTCACAATGGCAATCCCAATTGGGCTTACTTTTGGAAGTCTTTGATGGTGAAATTGCGTATGCTCCCTTGAGTTTCTCCAAATACAGGAGTTGCCCTTGATGTTGCAATGAGGGAATGAAGAGTTCTAGGCTGCTCCCTAACTGTCTAGCTTGCCAGGTCTTTGCGGAGTCCGCTTAAGTTGTCCAAACACCTGCCTTGATTCACAATGCCCTCAGTGCAGGGCCAAGGAAATTGTCAGGGAGTTCAGGCTTGTTGTGTGTCTTCTCATTGCTGTTGAATCAGGCAAAACTGAAGGGCTATCGTCAAGCCCCTGATCTGAGAGCTGCGGTCTGTCCCTGAGCAGGTGTTGCACAGGATCATACGGGTTCAGTCAAATGCCATGGAGGATCTACTGTAAGAAGGTAAGACTTTGGATTGACATCACGGGGGAAAGAAAGATCTCATTGGTCAATCCACTTCCATCCTTTTTCAGTTATTTTGGTAGCTGCCGGCAGTTGTGCAAGTTGGATTCACATTTAATTATCTGAATACACTGGTGCAGCTTCCTGAAAAAGTCAGGGGAAGGAGCCAAATCTTGACACGATCAGCCCTGCTTTCTCAATGCGCTACGTAGATCCTTGGCGCCTACGAGTGTTGGACGAATAGAGTGCGTCCTCGCAATTGGCTGACTCAAGAAAATATTCAGGAGGTTACCCTGGAAGTTGAACACTGGAATAACCCCACCAGTGCAGTGTCACATCTGAAAGGGGCCCTCCTGAATTTTGATAGACAATTGTCTGAGTTTAAGTTGCTCAGGGTTGAAGTGTGTCAGTCTAGACCAAACGCTCAAGCTTGCGCTCAACTGGTGAGTGAGACTGTTCAGCAACTTCCATTAGAATGCTGAGGTCCTATCCTCCCTCTGCAGGGGTGCAATCTGGAGGGTGACTGGAAAGACTGTAAGCCAGTGTCTCCCTCTTGCTTATCGTCCCTGCGACCTTTTGATCAACATCCCATAGATGCATGCTGCTACATCCTCGTGTTCTTTATGTGGAACGCAGTGGTTGTGATTGAATCGAGGTGCATCTAACTGAGAACGTTCTGATGGTTGATCAAATGTCGTTCATTGGATTCTTCAGGAGCTGTTTTCTGCCGAAAGCGAGCACACACAGTCAAAGTTTTCAACTTTGAACAGACGACCTGGAATACATGTATACGTGAGGAGGTTGACTGTCGGACTGTGAGGTTGAAACAAGGATTATTAGTTGCGACGCAAACTCGTTTCCTTCGGAAGAGTATGCTGGGTCCGTGAAATTGTCCGGCGGACCTCCCTCATGTTTATGCTGAAATTGCTTCTCTGCTACTCCTTTATAGGCCAGAGCTCCTGCAAAGACATGTGCTTCAAGGACCCCACCATCAGGGACTACAAGTGGTCCAGCTGGGTCGACCGATCACCCGGCGATCCAGTCAAGTCAAAGGTAGGGCTGAAAGACTCCTTTACTTTTAAGGCAGACACTCAGTTTACAGATGGGCCCAGCTGTCCTGGAATCGACGTTTACCATCTATAAGTGGAGTGGATCGAACGCGATTTCGACGAGGGCGCACCGTTCCGCCCTTGGTTGTCTAACCCGGTTCTGAACCTGGTTGTCAAACCAAGGCCTAACGTACCTGATTCCCAAACGGAGACAGAGAAGCACGACTCAAGGGCACCAGAATCCTTCCAATTGGATGGGAGTTATAGTTTCGTACGACCCATACTCTTAAATCTGATGCTTCCAAAGTGAAAGTATCGAGTCTGTGTGTACGAACAGCCTGGCATTCTTTTGCATTGAAGATAGACCAATCCTTTTGGCGACATAAAAGAACAATGACAAGAGGCTGGTCCCCGAACGGAGGCGCTTTATAGACACCTTTTGCCATATGCGGAAGGGTTCCAACCCGCTTTCATCACTCTTCAAGGTCACCCGGCAGCGTTTCCGTCCAGCTCCTTTTTGGCTCGATAAGCAGTTCGCTAATCTGGGTCTTGATCTACTTGTAACGTGACGCTTTAATACGAATCCTTTAGCAACGTGAATGGCGGCAACAATGGTCAATGAAAGCAGACAAGATAACGAAACGGAATATGTTGGAAGTAACACCACTGGGGAGAGTCCTTAGGTTTCATATCTTGAGTACCTACTCTCCTACGTTCAGGATGCGATCCTGTTTCTTTTTTTCCATTTCGAATCAGGTCTGGAGCTGCTCTCTTGTCAGGGCAAGATGTATTGGCGCATACTCTAGGGACACCACGCAACATTATACGAATCACTCTTGTGTATTACTCTTGCAGGCCTGCACAGAAGCATGCTTGAAGGGTTGCCTATGGCGGGTGAGTTCAAGCGAACCCGACACGTCTGCTTGGCTTCTATATTTGGACTGCTCGCAAGTGAGGTACGCGCATGCAGTCATCTCGTTTTGACGAGACAGAAAGCGAAGGAAGAAAGTGAAGGACCACATTTCATGTTTCCTTGCGCATTTGTGTCGGCCCGGTTTCCCCACCTCTGAACTTCAGAGTCTGTGAAGTTGCTTCCAGGTATGCAGCAAAAGACTGTCAGGATGCTTTAAAGGATCTGCATCGATATTTTTTGTGCAGATGTTCTTCCAGAAAGAGGACAACTAATGAGCACATCGAAACGATGTGCGTTCAACAAGCTACTTCAACATTCTTTTGTACGGCAGCGTTGCGGCGTTGAGGCCACTTAAACAGGATTGCAATGAGGACACGAGCGCTTGGAGTTGCTCCAGGTACAAACTTTTGTCTCCTATTGGATTAGATGCTTGGACTTAAAGTCTATGGAACTACTAAGCGGTATAGAGTCGAACTTAAAGACCTCATAAACCTTCATATTTGCACTTGCACTCGCTGGTAGATTTTCAAACGTGAACTTAACTTTGAATGCCTGAGTACCACTTTGGCCCAACGATAGCTGGATCGGCCCTCCAACTAGACCGTCAAAGGTCTGCACCTAGTCAAATTGCGCAAGTCATTGCATGGAAGCCCGCTCACCTATAGCCGCCAGATTCTGTCAAGTGTACATAAATGCATCATTGGAGCCCCATGAGAACGTACGGTTGCATGACATGACGCTATATGCGCAATGTTGGTTTGAGTGACCATGTGTACATATCATGCCGCCATGTCACCGTGTCCGGGCACAGATCATGCTCCACGTTGCCATCCAGCGCCGTAGCTGGCGCCAGCTATCATGCTCCGTTGCCATCCGATTCAGGCCGGGCGGCTAACGGTAATTAATTAATTGACTCATTGTACGCGGTTCGACATGCAATGAGCTAGCTCTAACGGAGAATTCTGGCAGCTTCCGCGACAATTGCAATATGTACTACAAGATATAACGGCCCAAGCTCAATGATTTGCACATGCAATTGGCCAGGCAATAGTCACATTAGCCTAGGCTGGCGCGGCACATGGTGCGCATTTTTCGTACGGCCAGCCACTTGACGCTTTCATGCAACGTGCAATGATGTATGCATGTACGTTCCAAACAGGCAGACAGTGACCCTACACCTGGCACTGTAAGCTCTCAAAAGTCGATACGTTGCAGATCGCCATGCTTCAACGGAAGCACGCTGAAGATCTATTTTACATCCATGACGATCAAAGCAAGAAAGTCCAGTGTAGCAACCTGGTGCAACGGTCACTCCCCACACAAATAAGCGGAGATGGGCCAAAGATGTGGCCGGACAATACGTTCTGCTTTATGTTCGACCAATGTTTCCCAAGTGCGAACCTTCGCAAGTTTCTCAGAGCTCAGTGGCATCATCAGCGGCCGAACCCAGGCGGCAAGTCCAAGTCCCTCGGCTGGGGAGGGGGGTTTTGCGGGCGACCGAACCCGGGGGGTAACCCATCATCCGGAGCGTTGTCTGATCGCCCCAAGAAACGAACCGGTCCCCGCATGTCTTGGTGCGGGTTCGGCACCGGAGGTTGGCCGCCGTAGTACGGCGGCGGGGGCGCCGTTCCGGCCCCAGGGTTTGGAAGGGTTGGGAAGTTGGGCCGGTTCGAGAATGGCTCGGGCAAAACAAACTCAGGGAGCTCGTCCTCGCCGTCCGAAAGGGCCCCATGTCCGGCCCAATTGCGCGTCTCCCCAGCCACCCGTAGCGCGCCTCCGGTCACGACAGGGCCCCGCCCCGGCGGGCTCTGGTGTGACGTCAGCCGGTTGGTGGGGCTCGCCTGCGGGTGGCGGTACGGGGACGTGACACGTGGCGGGCTGCGGTAAGGTGACGTCATCCGGGGCGGGCTCGTCTGCGGCGCGCGGGGTGGTGACGTCATCCAGGGCGGAGTGGGTTGGGGGGCTGAGAACGGCGGGGGCTGGGGCGGTTGTTGGTAGCCGAAGAGCGGCCCTCCTGGAAGCGACGCTTCTGGGGGGTTCGTTTGCATGCCTCCCCTGCCCCCTGAATGTACCCTCTGCTGGGGACTCCCCCTTGGGTTAACCCCTAACCCGCGGTCAGCAAAGCCGCTCGAGCGGTTCCGGTCGGGTGAGAAAGATTCCGTGCGCTGCTGTCCGGAAAAGGCCTTGCTGGGCACAGCGACGCCGGCGCCACTGCCGGAATAGCCCGGGGGCAAGTCGGCCCGTCTCTCAACAGGGCCCCCGAACCCTCTCGCTTCGTGCTGGGCGGACCCCGAAAATGTGACACGCTGCTGGGGGGGGCTGCTTTTCGGCGGACCACGCTCCCCCCCGGAATGGGGGGCGGTTTGGGTTGTCCCCGCGAATGAGTGTCTTTGCTCCGCAAGGGGGGGTCCCGGCCAACTCGGTGACCGCTGGTTGGTTTCCGCACTCGGTCGGAAAGTTTTGGCTTCCTCCGGAGGCGAGTGCGCCGTTTTGGCGAAGTCCACGGACTTCCCCTGAGCAATTCCCCGTTCAGCCGTCCCCTCCCCTTTCGCGCTACTCGAAACGCTCCCCGAGGGCCTAGCGATGCCCCCCCGCGCCGTTGCCCCATGCTCCGGAACCGGAACCCCCTGTCCGGAAACCGTACCCCCCTGAAGCGAAACCGCACCCCCTGGTCGGGGCCGATCCCCAGCCTTCTTCCCCGCCGCCCTGTCAATCACGAGCTGCAGGGGGGTGTCCTCATTCAACAGCGCCGAAGGGGGGGGCCGTTTCTTTACCCCCCCAGGAGACTTCGGCTCAGCGTTCAGGTCCAAAACCGGAACGGCGGACTTCTTCCGGTGCTCAGGGATTGCGGTCGGGGAAGCCAGCCCCCGGAATGAGGGGGGCGCACGCAACCCTCCGGTCCAATCTGCCGCGTGCCCCCCCTTTGCGCCCAACGGCTGCGCCTCTTGACGGGGATCTAAAGAGCGCTCCAATCTCATCCGTATGCTTTGGCTGGTGCTTTGGCCCCCCCCCTGATTTGCTGCCAGATCGCCCCCCCGGAACGAGGATCCGTCGACAGAGGCCCTCCCTTCCGCCCCAAACGATGGGCCAAAGCTGTGCAACCCCGCGCTCAGGGGGGCCGCTTTCTGCCCCGCAACCACCCCCCCGGAAGGAGCTACCGCAGTCAGGGGGCGGCCCTGAGCAAACCCATCCGGTTTGACAGGAACCCCCTGCAGCAAATTCTGGACACCGCCAAAGGGCGAAACGGTTCCTGCGCTTGGAGAGGGGGGCGGCTTGTCGTTCGAGTCAAAGAGCCGCCCCGAAACGTCAGATCCTAACCCCCTGCCTCGCCCTCTGCCTCTTCCCCCCCTCCCTCTGCCCCCTTCCGAGACCCCCCTGCCGCGTCCCCTGTGGACAGTCGCGAACTGCCGGTTACCATCCCCTTGACCATCCCCCAACCCGGTTTTCTTCTTGGCTGGTTTAGGGAGGAGCCCACCTCCGAGAGGCTTCCTGGCAAGCGCCGCAATTGGGGGACTGTCCGACGGGCTAAAGCCAGCCTGCGCATCCCCCCCCGAAACATTGATCCGCTGTAGATTCGCACCTGGGCTCGCCAAGTTTGTGGCTGCGGTGACGCCGCCGCTCAGCACGCTGTTAGCCTGACCCTGCAGCAAACCCGGGGCTAACCCAAGTGCACCAACGCCCGCTCCCGCGCCAGCTGGCGCACTCCCATTCGACGGGGCAACGCTCCGCTCCCCCCCACCTTGACCCCATCCTCTGCTGACATCACCACTCCCAGTGTAAGACGTCACGACTCCCCCCAGCTTGCCCACCAGCCCGGACATATTCACGGGGGTTCCGTCCGCTGCTTTCGCCACCCCCCCGGAAGGATGTGCGGCCTGGATGGGGGGCCCGTTCGCCGCTTTGGCGGCCCCCCCGGGAGGTGCTGGTGACTTGCGAGGCCTGCCCAGTGGCTTAGAACCCTTGGAAACCTTCAGCTTGATCTTGTTGATGGGAATGTCTTCCAAGTCCTCCTCACCCTGGCGCAGCTTCTTGCGGGGTTTGGCGGGTTTGGGCTCCTTAGGCTCCCTGCAAAAAGAGTTTCATACGCATATATATGCAGTTGACACGTGGGTGATCAAAATTTCTATTCCGCTTTGCTTCAAAGAACAAGCGCACCAAATCAGAACTCCAAGACTCGAAAAGCTCTACAACTCAGAAAGAAAGTGTCGTTTGACACGGTGCTGGACCCTCTTTGAAGTTTTTCAAACCACGTTCGGTTGGTTTGAACGACGGCTGGTCGATTAGTACTATAACCACACTCATCCACGTCGTATCCGCTTCTAAACAGTTAAGGTGCGAGCTGGTGGCTGCGGCCTGGAGAAAAGAAAAAACAAACCCAGAGAAAAAAGGGGACAGGAAATTCTAGGCCTCGTCCGATCCCTCACTTCTTCTTCGCAGGCGCCTTCTTCGGCAGTGGGGCCGCCTCCGGTTCCGCCGAGAAGGCCGTCATCGCGCCCTCTGCCCAGTCGGTGATGTCGCCCTTGAGGGCCAGGTTTGCGGCGACCCTGCAAACCGATCGCGCACCCAAATCAGGGGCGCGAATACACGCGTTCGTGGTTTCAGCGTGATGGAAGAGAAAGAATAAGGTTTCAACTGTGCTAATCATCGATGCTCCTGTGAAACATCTGGTCGGTGCTTTAAACGTTGTCTCGTTTGAACTTGGCTTCAAAGGTTGGGTGCCCGAAAATGCCATATGTATTCGCGGTCTCTAGGGAATCGCAAAAGGACCTAAGCCAGCTCAGATACTAGCTAAAGGATGGATGTGCAGCACTCCAAAGGGAGTCTGATTGCCTTGCAATTTTCCTTTGAACTCGGAGCACTGTAAGCTAAGTTTTCATGAAGTTGTAGCATTCCTTGTGCCTCTGAAAATATCTCGACCGAAGGTTCGGAATCCAAACACGCTATCTAATGTAGCCAGGACGCATCTTCACGGGGGCTACGACGCCAAAGGTCTAGCAAATTGTTGGGAATCAGACAAAGTAAAAGGGACGATCCCAATTGAGAAGTTTGCAAACAGCCCCTCACCTGTATCTCCCCTCCGCCACCTCGCCTTTCTTCAGCGCGACTGCCCCCAGATCCTTCGGCTCCTCCACCTTCGGCAGCAGTTCCATCCACCCCGCCAAGCCCTCCCCGGGCCTGCTGACGTCACCCCCGACGACGCTGACGTCAGCGGCCGGGTCGACGACGTCAGCAAAGCCGGCCGTCGCGGCCGCGAGCTCCTCCTCGTCGCTGTCCGAGACCTCGGCCCGAGCGAGGCGTCCGAGGTCCGCGGCTTGGGTTAGGAACTGCCGAACCGGGTTGAAGTCGGGTTTAGGCTCTTGTTCCGTTGTTGGGGGAAGGGTTTGTTGGGCTGGAAGCGGCGGGCCTGCCTGGCTCGGTTGGGTTGGTTCGGGTTTAGAGAAACCTAATTGCTGCCCGACAATGGTTTGTGAGGAGGTTAGCAGGGCGGCTGGCAGGGAACTAGGTTGGAGAGGCGGTGTCTCCGTCCGGTCCGAATCGGCCGGCGACGCATTCAAGTCCACAAGCTTCGGCTGGGGCGGCTGCGCCGCAAAACTCGTAACCCACCCCAGATCCTGCTCCAAACCGGGGCTAAGCCCGGGTTCCCTCTCGCTGATCGGCCTCCCCGCTAACCGCGCCAGGGTCTCAAACGCGTCCTTTCCGGCCGCTCGGTGCGACGGGTGCGGAGCCACGTGGTTAGCGCTAACCACCGCGGCTGATTCCTGGTCGACTCGGATAAACCCTAACCCTTCTGGTGAGGGGACGGGCGCGGCGGGCGGTTGCGTGGTTTTCGAAAGCGTCTGCGGATGCCGCTGGGAAGCGCGCACAGCGTTCTCGAAGTCGGGGGGCAGCGCCACGACGACGTCACCCGGGGATGACGTCACCCTCTCTAGGAGCAGCTTGGCCTGCTCCTCTGTGATCGCCGGCTGCGGTGTGAATGGGCTCTCTGGGCGGACGGACTGTGGAGGCTCGGCCGTTTCGTCGGGCTTCTTCACACCGTCGGTGCTGATAGCCGGAACGACTCCGCCTTGGTCAGGGGCCGAAGTGGAGACGACCGATGGCGGCTCGCCAGCTGGCGGAAGGTTCAGCTCGAGCGGTTTGCTTAACCCTCCAGAATCCACCGCACTCCCCGAAGCAGCCTCGCTTTTCCGCTCAGTTTCTGCCCCTTCCGCATCATTCCCCTCTGCCTGAACGCCGACAGCTGTCGCCGGTACTTCGCCAGCTGGTTTTGAAGGGCCAACAGCTGGCGTCAAGTCCTTGACAGCTGGAACCGAGTCGCTGTCAGCTGGCGCAACGCCGTGGGCCTTCATCAAGGCGGCGTAACGCTCCCTGCACTGCTCGGGCGAGCGTTTCCTCCCCCGGTGAGGCCCCAGGTCTGGCACCCCCGCCAGCACGTCGCTTGCCACGTCCCAATTTACACCAAGCTCCACCACAGCTGAACACAGTATGACGTCCTCAGCGTGCTTCCACGGTGTGAAGTCTCTCCCGCCCCTAGACCGCTCGAACTCCGCCTTGCGCCGCCGGAAGAGCTCCAGTGTCTGGGACGGTTTGTGTAACGTCCCCGAAGAAGGCAGTGTGAACACGCCCCCTGCTGCAGACGCTTTCTTCTGGACCGTATCCCTGCTGCCGTCCAGATCCAACGGCCCAGATTCGCCCAGCGACGCGTTTTCCCACGGGTAGCCGAAATCGAACGACCAATCTTCTCTGAGAGAGGGTGCGCCGAGCTCGGACAGCTTTTTCTTCTTGTTCTTCTTTCCAGGGGGGCCCGAGAAGGGCTCGTTTGAGCCCCCTGCGGTGAGGGTGGGCGTGAGGCGGGTGCCTTCTTCGTCCTCCACGAACTCGTCCAGGTACCTAATAGAAGGAAGAAATAGACCTTAATACCAGTCGCTAAAACCGTTTTCTACGGTAAGAGACAAAGTGAAAACAATGTACTTTCCTCTTGTCAAAGGACTCAACTTAGTAAGGAGAACGAGAAGCTGCAATACAACCGAGCGTCCACTGCAAGTAGCTGACACCGTGATGCAAAATAGGAGGACAGTTCGAACAAACAACGACAGTTCAAAAACTTCAAAGCGGCCCAGCTTAAGCAGGTGTAGCGTTTCTTTGCTTTCGTTCCTGCTGAAAGAGGGTTCCTGAGTACCTTTGATGCTCGAAATGGTGAAATGGTGCACGGACAAGATAAGCAACGCCCGTGAGAAACGCCTCACTTTGGCACCCTGCGCTTGCGCTGCGAGGGGTTTCCTGCCACTCAAGGAACATAGAGGCGGAGCAGTATAAAAGTAGAAGAAAAAGACTAGGCGAAAGAAACGGCAACAAAAGCAAAAGCCTGCGCGGAAAGCGACTCACTTCGGCACCTTGCGCTTGCGCTGCGAGGGGCTGCGCATGCCGTCGATGGGCGTGTCGTCGCCGCTGTGGCTTGAACCACGTGCGTGCCGCCGCGCCGCCGCCTCGGCCCGCTCCTGCTCGCGCCGCGCCGCTTCCTCCTCCTTCTGCTGGGCCAGGAAACGCACCTGTGACAAGAGACGCTGTGTCAGATTCCTGACCGGTTATTATTTACTTTTTGTTTCTTGTGGTTGTGTAGTAGGGTTGGACGCGAGGAAACATCAGAGCTCAATGACGTCCAGCCGCTCCCATGTGCGCCGCGCCGCTTCCTCCTCCTAGTAATGGAAAGCGCACATCACGAAAAGAAAGTTCATGCTCTTGAAACGTTTTTTCAGAAAGAAGAAGTGGTGGATTCAGCGGGGGGACTTCGAAGAACCGGAAAGGACGGTCCCCCTTCCATTTAACGGCTGTAACAAAGATGACGATGTAAGCGCAACGAACGGAAGGATCCATAGACAAGGCTCGTTCTTGAAAACCTTGTCAGTGGGATTGGGAGCTGAGGCCAAGTACTGAATATGACGTAAAGTCATCAAAGGGGTTTTGACAGCTGGGCAAGCAAATGCGCAGTGTTCGCAACTCCGTGCGCTGCAAGGAGTGCAGGCCTCACAGTATGGATGTTGCGTTTTACGAAGTCTGCTGTTTGGAGTTCAGGAAGCGATAGCTGAATAGAGCCGGCTTCGCCTTTTCAACTCCAAAAGTGCAGAGGACGCTGCCAGACCTCTTGGCCGAAAAGACTGGGTGTGCGGGTTCCGGTTCTGTCCCTTGCGAATTTAAAGAGGGCGTTGGCGGACGCGTCCGCAGTGACGTCAAGAGCGACAGACAGCCCGGAGTATCAGGTTGATTGTCGCCAGGAAATGACTTCAGCTCGATGACCACGTAGTATCATCTTAGCAACCACATACCAGCATTCTCACTCGTATTGTCGCTGCGATTTTGTCGTATCGCCACGCCCTCTTTAAGTGGACCATAGCAACGAAAGTACAGAAGACTGAAAGTAAGCATATCTCTGTAACCCGCTAGTGTCTGCATTCTGATAGCAAAAGACTTTAGTTTCTCTTCCGCCGCAACTTAACAGAACCTTAGCCGAAGATAGCATGTCGCTCCTCTCTTTGAAGTTTCCTAGCGGAGCATCCACTGTGAGGACTCCCTCGCAGAGCTCCTTCACTAGTCATGATAAGTGCAGCAGAATACGTACCCAAGCCGAAGACTGAGCCGAAACCCGACAGATTGAACACCCCAGACTTCTTGCATAGGATCCAGTGGCGCTGATTCCGCGCAACTGGCCAGTTCGAGCAGTAAAAATCCAGTGTCCACAAATCATGGACTTGAACCCAGACCCGAACCCAGCCCCAAACCCGACGCTCTGAAACCCCCGAACTCCTCACCCGCTCTTTGTGTTTGGCATTCTTGCGTAGGGTTAGCTTCCTCGCAACTGCCCAGATAACCAAGATCACACTTTCCCATACCATGGACCTGATATCCCAGAATCGAAACCCCAAAACTCTAAACTCCTTGAACTTCTCACCCGCTCTTCCTGCTTGGCCGTCTTGCGCAGGATCCGCTGGCGCCGCTCCTCCGCGGCCGCCTCCTCCGCCTTCTTGCGCTCGGCCTCGCGGCGCTCCGCCTCTAGTTCCGCCTCGATCTCCGCCTGGAGAAAATTCGAAGGGTCGGGACTTAGCAGAACTGAACAATGCAGTAGCCAAGCCGGATAAGCGGGCGGCCCAATAAAGTTGCACAATTCACCAAGTCAGGGCACAATGACCCAACGATAAACCCTTTGAGCATATTGGACAGAGCCGAGGGAAGGTCACAGCTAAGAATACACGCCAAATCCATACCCAGCAGAGCAATGCTTTGAACCAACGTTGTAGCCTCTTGAATTCATCTCACCCTTCTCCCAACGTCACCAGAAGCCGTATTCAAACCTCAGACATTGCATCAACGAAGTTCGACAGCTGCTCTTTCGACGTCATCCTTCGAAAGTAGACAGTGCGTAGGCTAACCTGGATCCGTTCCTCCTCCCATTGGGCCGCCAGCTCCACCTGGCGCCGGTATGCGTCGTCCGCTTGTTCCGTGTCCCAGTCTGTGAACACAATCTGTTCTTCGTCGTCGTCCACTTCCGCTTCTTGTTGGTCCTGTAAGTAAGGTTAAGGAAGTTTCGTTGGCTTGGACATAGTCTGGCAGGTTTTGAAGAGGTTCTGTTTCAGAAGAGGCGGCCCTACGCATAGTTTGCTTGCTCCGTGTCCCAGTCAGTGAACACAACGTGCTCTTCGTCATCGTCCACTTCCGCTTCTTGTTGCTCCTGTAAGTTTTGTGAAACACTTTGCTTAGGTTAGAACAGATCTGCGAGGTTTCGGAAAGATTTTGTTTAAGAACCGGCGCCGATATGCGTTGTCCGCTTGCTCCATGTTTCGCACAATGGGCCTCCTCGTAGTCCGTTATTGGTCCTGAAACATCGAGACATGGGTTGGTGCTCCGTAAGCATTGTATCAGCACGCGTCAGCACAAACACTGAGTCAAGCAAACAATCTAGCGACGAGGAACATCCTACACTGAGTCCGCTGCTTCCTTGTCAGGGAATCATCATAAGGAAAGGGTCACGATATCATTCACAGATCTACACACGCACTGCAGTTCTCCTGGCAGTCAAGAGTCGGCATGTAGTACGGGCAAAGTGTCGAGACTACTGCCTGGTCGCAAACCTGCGGTCCAGCCTCTCTTTCGTGCTGCTGGACCCGAGCTAGAGATTTTAACTCGCTTTCGTGTTAGAGCACGAAAGCGGGAATGAAGCTTCTTGCAAGGTGGACCTGAAGGGTGTCCGCTCCTACCATTCGACCTACCATTCTACGTTCTACCTTTTGACCTCTCCCTCGCCACAGAACCACAAACGAAGCGAACTGCTGCGCCAGCAAAATGAAAGCGTCCTGATTTATGAGCACACAAGGCTCCAAACCGAACAGGGCCCGACGCCGATCGTTGAGCCATCGGAAAGAGAGGCATGGCTTAGCACGTTCTCCATGGCTGATGAACTAAGGAAGCAGTCATTCATTGTTCTTGTTGAACAGGTGTAGCTGCCAGTTAAAAGGCTCCATAATGCTAACTCCAGTCAGAAGGGCAGTCGAGCACAGGGTGAATGTGCTTCCAGCTGGTTGAAGAGAAGAAATTGTGAGAGGAAGGGCGATTCACGTTGAAGATTTTCCAGCTGGTTGATCTACAGCCACCGTTCAACCACCATGCTTGATCGTTATCATGCTTGCACCTCGTAATACATTACAAGAAGCGTAAGATGAGGCGTGAATCACCTTGAGCTTCTCCAGCTGATCCAGCTCCCACTCCTTTTGTTCGAAGTCGACCTCCGCCTGCGCCGCCTGCGGGTCGACCACGCCGAAGACGTCCTCCAAGTAATGCATCGCGTACCTGAGGAGATGAATGGTACGCAGCTGATAAACAGGAAGAGAAATCGCCCACTGATCAAACGCTCGTGGACAACTATCTGGCAAAGCGACGGGCATTCCGGATCGAGCCCGCTGAGGACGTCAAGTAATGCATCGCGTACCTAAGAAGACGAGTGATACGAAAGAACTCGCTCTCATTTCACCAGTCAGCCAGGGCCTGTCGGCCCTGTCCGGCGACCTGGTTCTACCAATTACGAGGCGACGCACAGGAAGAAAATGCCCACTGATCCCAGGTTAGTGAGTAGAAAACTTTCTGACGAAGGGATACGCCGCGTATGAATCCACCACGCCGAGCTCGTCCTCTCAACAGTGCACCGCATACTTGAAAAAAGAAGCGGACGTTGGGAGAACACTTTGAGCTGCTTCCAAAGGGTTTGTTTAACAGAAACTTGTTGGAAACTTTCTTGACATGCAATGGAGAAGACTCGCTTGCATGATTTGGGAAAAACAGAAAGCTGCTTCAATGCCCTGAGTGCAATACAATCATCAGTCCTCGCGGATTGAAGAAGCCAGTGTTCCACGTAGGTTTGGAAGGACCAGGTTCTGAAATCGTGCAGAATTGGTTTGCAGCCTTGGGGACGTTCCACTCAACACGCGCCCTTTCGACGCACTTCCCCATCCAGTATCCCTTTTACCAGAGCCCAAATCGGAAGACAAATTACAAGTTGCAAGTTTGTTTTCTGCGAATGTCAGGATGGCTGAAATCCTCACAGTCTCCTATTTGCTACCTCACCTTTCAATCGGCCGCAGCTGATCCTCAAACGAGAAGTTTCCGTCCTTCCCCGCGGCAGCCGCCCTCTGCTTCAAATCCCGCAGCACGTCCCCCTCCTCTTCAATCACCGCGACTTCCCCTCCCTTTGCGGGGGGGCCCTCGGCCCCTTTCGCCGCCCCCCCCTCCTCGTCGTCGTCCGCCACCGGCCCCCCCTCTTCGTTGAACTCGGCTGCGTCTTGCGCCTCTTCCTGTTCCGCCCGTTTCAGCGCCGCGTAATCTTCCTCGTCCTCCGCGCGACCAAGCGCCGCCTCGACTTCCGCGTTGGTGGGCTCTGCAGGGGCGGGTTCCGCCGGTTCCGCCGGAACGTCCGCCCGTTCCGCCGGAACGCCGCCTGCGGGCGGAACGGCGGCGTGCGTGGGCGCGGCGCCCCCGAAGAGCTCCATCGGGTCCAGCTTCTTGAAGAAGTCGGTGTTGTAGCCCCCGCTTTGGATCACAAGATCGTCGAGCGCGCGCTTCTGGTTCGCCTTCTTCAGAATATTCTCCTCGATCGTGCTCTCGCAAACTAACCGGTATATGTGCACTTCCCGCGTTTGCCCGATGCGGTGACACCTGTCCTGCGCCTGGAGATCCATCGCGGGGTTCCAGTCGCTATCATAAAAAATGACCGTATCCGCGCCGACTAAGTTGACGCCGACCCCGCCCGACCGCGTCGACAGAATGAACAGGAAGATTTTAGGGTTTGTGTTGAAGCGCTGCATCAGGATTTGGCGCTGCTCCGGCTTTGTGCTCCCGTCGAGGCGCATGTACGTGTAGCCGTACAGGTTGATAAACGATTCCAGGTGGTCCAGCATCCTGGTCATCTGCGTGAAGATGAGCGCGCGGTGCCCGCCCGCCTTGAGCTTGCGCAGGAGCTCCGCGAGTTCTTGGAGTTTGCCGCAGTCGTACTGCAAGGGACAGGACAAAAAAAAAGGTGAGCAGGAAGGGATGATTGGGGGAAAGTGACAGGATTTCCGAAACGCCGTCCATTTTCATCACAAGACTTCTATGAATCAAACGGCGCTGAACAAAAGGTCCACAAGCTGTCGTACTGCAAGGGACGGAAGAGGGAAAGGCTGAGCGATAGATTTGGTAGGTTCCGCAAGCCTACTCAAAGGTGTCGGGGCAGGGAGGAGCGTTTGAGATGGGGGGTAACACGAGCGGAAAACTTGGTAGGACCCCACCCCCGTCATTTCTAGTCAAGCCTTTCCTAAATACCGACTATTCCGTGAAGTCGTCCGTTCGTCTCGGCAGGCAGTGAAGTCGACCCTTCCGAAAGAAGAGTCTTGTCTCAGGGGGTTGAAATGAGTGTGAAAGAAGAGCGACCGGAGAAAGCATAAATGACGTCAGAATATGGTTCAGGCGATGAAAGTAGGCAAAGTGCTTGCATAAGTCTGAATAGGTCCTCCAGCAGACGGCGTAGCTTGCTCCCATCGGTGCACTGGAAGCTTCTGTCACAGTGCAATACCTGTGGACTTGGTGCCAAGAGTGGGAATGGAACTGCCTACTTGTGATGATATCGTGGCAAGGAGATGAAAGCAGACTGCCAAAAGCTTTTTGCAAATGCGATGCGACCCCAGCGACCGAACTTACCTGGAGCAGTCGCCGGTCCGGGAAGAACAGCTGCCGCCGCACGATTGCCTGCCGCAGGGGGGTCAGCAGCGGCGCCACCTCCCTGCTTAGCATAACCTCCCTCGTCTCGCTCGCTAACTGCTCGCTAACCCCCGGGTGGCTGCACCAGGGCCGGGGCGGGGGCGCCCTTGCCCGGGGAATCGCAAACACGAACGTTTCGACCAGGTCCTGAGCCTTTTCACACCGCCCTTCCGGCGAAACGACGAGCTCCGCTAGCGCATTCGGGTAGTCGAGGTACCGGGCCGGGTTAGCGGTCAACCGGGTGACGGTCAGGGCCGGGGGGACGACTTCGACGGCCGCACGCACGTCGGCGCCAAAGACCGGCCGCCGATTGCACCGACGCACGTTCAGCGACGCAAGGAACGCGAGCGTATCCTTCTTGCGCTGCAGCCGCTTCGCCTCGATCGCATCTCGGATCTCTTCCAACAGCGTCCGCGGTCTGCCGGGCGAAGGACCGGTACTGCTCGTCGAGGCACCGTTACCGCTCGCTGCCCTTTCGCCCTCGGTCTCGTTCGCGGTTGGGACGTTCCCAGGCGTTTCAACCACAGGGACTGCGCTCGCGGGCTTCTCAGGGCCGTCGATCTCCTCGATCAGCGGCCGAGGCGTCGCCAGCTGGCAGATCTCCTCGGCCTCCCATTGGTGCATTCCCTCCAGGTCGATGAGCCGCATATTGAGCGCGTCGAGGTCAAGGGACGTCAGCGGGTGCGGTTTGAGGGCGTTGATGACGTCACTGCTGAGCTGGGGGGAGATTTGGGGCATGTCGTATGCGGATACGATGGGGCGGCCCTCGAAGAGGTCCGGGTGGTTGCACACCTGCGGAAAGCAAAGTAGGACTTTTTTTTGTGAACATGCTCCCGTGACTACTCGATTTTGCAGCCAAATACTAGAAGTGGTTCGAACTCGGTTGCATTAACTCATGGTGCCGAGAGTTGGTCCAAAGCTGCGGGGAGAGTGACGCAACGCCGTCAGTAAATCTTTGTTGCCCTTATTCAACGGGAACATGACCTCTCAAAACTACACGTGACGGGTTTAACTGGTTGGGATACGGAGGACAAACGTTGGCGCCCTTCGAAAGGTCGCATCATTGAAGATTGCAGAAATGTGAAGAGAATGGTAGGGTCCCTGTTTATAAGTTTGTCAACTCTCTGATTTCAGCTTTGGGCACTTCATGATCCGGTCCCAACCGAAAGGCAGCAGAAGTGTTAGCAACAGCGACCCAGGAAAGAGTTCAAAAGATACAATCCTCATGAGAACGTTAATAAATGAGCACCAAAAAGTCCCCTAACGCGAGCACGGCCTTTCAACTTACCAATCTCATCTCCAGAATGGTCCTGAAGATTTTGAAGATACTAAAGAATCGCAACCCTCCTCAACTTGGAATCACGGAAAACCGAAGAACGAAAGCGCCTTTGAAAGAGAAACCAACTGCAACCTTTTTCTGGAAAGGAAGACTCATCGCACTCCTCTCCCGAAAGGAACAACGCAATCCCGTTGTTCCTCTCCAAAAGAAAGAGCGCATGCCCAAACTTCCTCAACATGGACACATGAGAATTGCAAAATCCTCCCCACCTTGCGCAGCTGCATGAGCACGTTGATGAGCCCCAGAAAGTTGCCCGACGCGAGCGTGGCCTGCGTGTCCGACGACGCCATAAAGTCCTCGTACAGGTTGCGCTGCCGCTTGGACAGCCGGCACTTGATCACGTGCTCGAACTTGCCCGGAAGCTGCTTCTCGACGTCCTGCTTGAGGCGTCGAAGCAGGAACGGCCGCAGGATGGAGTGCAGCCGTTCGACGAGCTCCTTGTTGATCTGCAGATTGAAGGTGGCCAATAAATGCCTTATCTGAATGCCGTTTGAGAGGAGTCTGCCGGCTCAAAGTGTTCTTCGTTGGTCGTCAAAGAAGGCCGGACCTCAGAATGGGGTGTAAACATTCGACGAGCTGCTATAGGGACCCGAAACGCCCACTTATGCCGCGGTCAGACACAAAGTGAACTGATAAATTGGGTAAGCATACCAAGAAACGAAACGATGATTCTTCGCGTGATCTTTGATATCTTACAACCCAAAACACTGAGAACTCAACAGTATCATCAGGATTCAGCTTTTTGGGGTCCTAGGGTTTGGTGATTCTGAAGGGACCTGCTGAGCGCCTTGGATCATGCTGTCGAGCAACTCAGAGGAACTAATCGGATTCAGAGAAGCCAACCCGGAACAGACAAGGGAAAAGTGAAAGAAGAAGGTGACACCAATTATCTTTGACGAGCAACCCGACTGAAACAGAAGAAAAGGCCCCAGAACAGTGGCCCTGACCTGCTCCGCGCCCTCGACCATGCCGTTGAGCGGGTTGGAGAACCAGTCGCGGAACTCCTGGTGGGACTGGAACACGTGCGGCATCAGAAAGTGCATCAGGGACCACAGCTCCATCAGGTCGTTCTGGAGCGGCGTCCTGCACAGAGTGTTCAAGAACAAGGTTAGTGAAGGCACGGGTGTGAATGAGAAAGCACTCAGCTCTTCAATCCTGCACTCGCCTACTTGCACTATAGCGGGAGGGCGTGAGGCATCAGGAAGACAACATGGATCATAGCTCCATTGGGTTGTTCCGTAACTAACATTAGCACTGGGAAAGGGGTTGCGTCTAAAGCTAGAAGGAGACGGGAAACTCGTGAAAGCTTTGAGCACGATCCACCACTTAGCGAGAAGCTGAAGAATCACTCTTCACCATAAAAGCAGACTGGACAGAGAAGTTGCAAAGAACCTCACATTGTCAGACACTCTTCTACAAGGTGTTCTATGTATCAAACTGCCAAACTTAGTCTCTGGGTTGACCAGTATAGTCAAAACAACAACCAACCAAGGGGTACCTCAGAAACCTGATCCAATCGAAATCTTTAAATCAAAACTTGTATGAAAGTGTCCAGAAGAGCAGCTGGGTTGACCACAAACCTGAAACACCACCAAAGGACAACCAAATTCTTAACGAAGAGCTTATAACCTCACCCGGTGAGCAGGATGCGCCGCTTGGAGTTGAAGTTGAGCAGCACCTGCCACCGCTGGCTCCTCCAATTCTTGATCATATGCGCCTCGTCCAGGATCAAATACCGCCACTTCTTCCGCTTGAACATCTTCTGGTCCTGGATCACAAGCCGGTACGTCGTGATACACACGTGGAACGAATTCGGCTTACTCCACCCCTGCCGCTTCGCCTTGCGCTCCTTCGCCGACCCGAAATACGTCAGCACTTTGAACGCCGGGCACCATTTCTTGAGCTCCGTCTCCCAATTCAGCATCACGCTCGTCGGAACCACGATCAGGTGCGGGCCCCAGATGCCCTTCTCGCACGCGAGATACGCGAGCAACGCGATCGTCTGGATCGTCTTCCCGAGCCCCATCTCGTCCGCCAGGATTCCGTTTAACCGCTTCTCATACATTGTCACCAGCCAGTCGAGCCCGATGTGCTGGTACTCGCGCAGCGAGTGCTTCAGTAGAAACGGTACCTTGGTCCGGACTTGCGTCGTCGACAGAGTGTAGCCCGTCGGTTGGGCGGCCATTGCCGCGGCAGCCGCGTTTTTCAACCGGTCCTGACCCGACCCCTCGTCAAAGTCGTCCGCTTCCTCTTCTTCGACTTTGCCCGCGCTCTCTTTCGCCCCCCACTCTGCCAAACCCGTCACTTTACACCCCACCTCCGTTTCCGCAGCGTTCCTCCCCGTGTCTTTAGCCCCCCCTTCCGTAATTTTCGCTTTCCCCTCCGTCTTTTCAGCCCCCACCGCCTTCTCACTGACCGCGCCCTCCGCTTCGTTTTTCACCTCAATTTCCATAGCGTCACTCTCCTTCTCTTCAGCTCCCGTCTGGCCTTTTCTCAACTCCACTGCAGCCCCCTCAGGCTTCTCTTCGCTCCTTCCGGTATTCACTCCCCTCGCCTCCGCCTTCTCCCCTTCCGCTACAGACGTTTCCCCAAGGTCTCGCACCCCCTGGTTCGTCTCTAGCCCTTTCCCGTCGTTTTCGGACCTCATCCCTTCCTCTTCCCGCTCACCCGCCTCCTTCTCAATAATTCCATTCCTTCCAGGCGCCGCCTTCTCCTCCGGAGACACCCCCCCGTCCTCCACAACCGTCCCCTCTTTCTCGCTAGCCTTCCGCCCCGCCTCTCGCCCATCTTCGTCCCCTCTAGAGCTCCTTTCCACGCCCACAATCCCCCCACTCCCTCCCCCTTCCTCCTCCACCCCACTCCGCATCTTGGCCCTCTCCCCCCTCTTCGCGGCAGCTCTTCGCACGGCTAACAAGCCCGCTTCCGTGTCCCCATCTTCCTCCCCCCCCCCCTCCCAAAAGCGCAGACACCCCAAGCACTTCCTCGTCTCCCCCCCCCTCTTTTCCCTCTGACTCCGCCCCCCCTTCCTCCTCGCTCTCGTCCGAGCTCCGGCCCCCCTCCCCGTCGTCAAATCCGTCTGGACTGCCCCCCGAGGACAAATCCAAAAGCTCCCCCAAAGATGGACCTTCTGGGGGGGTCATTTCAGGGCTTGCCGGGACCCCTGGTCGCGGACCCTCTTCGACGCCGCTCTCGGGGGACACCTCCGTGTGGTTGGGGACGTCTGACGGCTCGTCGTGATCGCTGGCTTCCGATTCTTCCTCCCCCGATCCGGACTCGTCTGCAAGCACAACGAGCCAGATCATTCGCGAGGTCAGCTCAAAAGTCGTGTCTGTTCTCCTGTCGGACGCAACGTGTTTCTCCAGAGAACTTATGGATTCTTTGAAAGACAGCCGCGTTAGAATCGGCCAGGGGACGTCCCCTTCCCTCCTTTTCCGAGAGTGCACCTTTTCGTATCAGTCAGCATTACTAACTATTGACCAGTCGCAACTTGAGCAGCAATATCTTAGACCCGTAGGCGTTGCTGAGACACGCACATGCAATTTCAACGCCGATACTCCAACCATCAATCGCGGAACATGATGTTTCAGGATCTCTTGGCGCTGCTTTTTGCCAAAAGAGGAACATCTTGGCGGGTGTCCATAAATCCGTCAAGAGGTAGATCTCGGATTCTCAGCACGTTTGAGGAGAAGACAAACTTGAAGTATAATCTGGGCAGATTCTTCCCGCAAGGTCTCAAAAGAGTAAAGCCCCTTACAAAGCAACAAAAGGGCTTTGCCTCTTGGTACCAATCCCACGTACAGAGACTCTGCTTCCTTTGAGGGACGAAGCACTGCTTTCACCCACCTTCGGCCTGGCTGCTCCGCTCGCCAGAGCTCTCTTCTTCGGCGGACTCCTCGTCCCGCATGCCCTTGTAGCGGGCCAGCAGTTCCTCTACAGTGAGCTCGCTCTCCTGCTGTAGCATGGCCAACTCGTCATCGCCACCTGTTCCAGACACGTGACTCACTTACACTTTTGCACAATCCAGCCAGCTTTGTCCGCTCTGGTATGCCACGTGACTGCCGCTTACGCGTCTGCTGCTCAACTTAGCCTGCCACCAGTATGACACTCGCCTAAATTGCAGCAACGGGAATCTAGAAAGTTTCGAGGTGGACTCCAAAGTTCTGCTGTGGTATTGCCGCCGGTTCCAAACACGCCTCTGTACGCGTTTGCACAGTCCAGCCTCGTCCGCTGTAGATTGCCAACCGTCTGCTGCCTCAAGTAAAGCCCAGCCATCAGTGTATCGCTAGCCCCAGGACAACGACAGCTGAAAGTCTATTAACCTCCAAAGCGAAAACGAAGCGTCGACTTCTTCTCCCAATTGTCCGCTTAGCTCACTGGTAGTCGGAGGACGGTTTCAGATCTCACTATGAGAATCCAGCCTTCGAAGCAAATGAGAAACGGAGTCACTGGGTGGTTATGGCAAATTAATGCGCTCCACTTCTGTCAGCAGCCATGTCGCTCAGAGCCACACTATCGTTACTCCTCCAACATAAGCAGGAAGGATTTAGTAAGCACTGAAGGAAACGACCAGGCAGCACGGCTCTTTCCTTTGCGGGTCCTCGATCCATCAGGTGGCCCCTGCCTTTTTCCCCAACCTACAAAACAACCAATTTTCGACTTCTACCCCCCCAACAGACGAACTAGACAGAAGCCAAACTTACCAAGATCCCCGCTCTGCTGTGCCAGCTTCTCCTCTTCCTCAAGCGTCGCCTCGTCATCCCCCCCCTCGTCGTCCCCCTGATACTCTTCTTCTTCGTCTTTGCCCCCGTCCATCACTTCTGAATGCTCCCGCTGCGCTGATGCTTTCACGGGCCGCCGCGCACGCTTCGGCCGGGGGGCGTTCACACCAGCCTCCCCGGCCTTGCGCTTGCGGGTGGGAACGGGCTCCGGGGTGTCGGAGTCTGAACGGCGGTCGGAAGAGTCCCGGAACTCGTCGTCGGTTTCCATGGCTGCAATTCAATCAGGGGTCCTTGAAGATTTTCAAGAAAAGGTCCTCGCAGGTTTAAGGTAAGAGGTCTAACTCAAACCCAAGGTGAGCAGCCCAACACGAGGCACAGGGTGCGAATCGCCAAACCCCTTGAAAAGTTGGTGGAGCAAGAATTACTCCCTGCTCGTTTACTAAGCAGTTTCAGATAAAAGACCCAGGTGTTCTCCACGCTAGTTTGAAAATAGAAGACTTCTTCGTGAATTTGCAAAGCACCCTTTGCAAAGTGAGAAGATGCGGCAGCGGACCAATAGTTACTTCAGATAGAGAAGGGACTCTCTTCTGCGTTCAAAAACAATGACATCGGATCATCTTTCTGAGCCATCGTAGATCTAAGCGGAAGCTTTTCGATAAGCGGTGCGGGATTGAGCGGCCCACCTTGGTACCTCCGCAGCAGCTCTTCAATGGGCAGTTCGCTTTCGGCCTTGAGGGCGTCCATTTCGTCCGCATACCCCGCCTCTTCCTCCGCGATCTCGGCCTCCAGCGTGCTTTCATCATCCTGCGCACAGGCAAGTAGGATTCACGAATTGGGGTTGGTGAGCCCTCTCTCAAGATGACAAAGAAATAGTCCATCAATTTCGGCTCTGTTCACCTAAATGATTCAGTTCTTGGGGAATCTGCTTTGGAGGGAAGCTTCATGAGGAAGTTATTAAGAGCGGCTTGTGGCCCGATTTGAACATTTTGGGCATCATTTCAAGCTGCCTCCTCCATATCGCAAAGATTCCATCTCTACCAAAACGCGACCACTGCATGACGCGGGCAGTCCAGGCTAGTCACCATTTTACTTTGTCCCCAACACTGCGAGGTCTTTCAGCGAAAACACCCGGATGCGGCATGCACAACATCCACTCCACTCGAATCAGATCAGCGATTATAGAATTCACTTACAGAAGCTTTTCCTGAGCTAACCGTTGCTCACCAGCTTTGGGCGTTACTGAAAATCGTCACACTTACCTCTTCTTGCTCGTCTTCCCCCACTTCAAAGTCATCGTCGCCATCCGCATGCGCCACCCTCCCCCCCCCTTCAGAACGCCCCTGCTTCGCCCCCCCGTCAGCCACCGCCTCATGAGCTCCTCCATCATCCCCCCCTTCTTGCTGCTTCGCCTCTTCTTCCCCGCTCCACATGTCCAGACTCCCATTCGTCAGCGCGAGCCTCGACTTTCCAGGCTTTCCGCTAGCTTCGACCCTGCCTCCGGAACCTCTAGCCGGTCCCTGCTCGTCCCCGGACCCTCTAGACGTCCCCTGCTCTGCCTCCGCCCCAGCGGAACCTTTAGACGTCCCCGTGCCGGGCCGCCCCTGGAGGTCTGCCGCCAGCATGGTAGAATAGCGCTCCGTCTGGCCCACGAGAAAGTCCAAGTGCTTGTCCAGCGCCTTCTTCTTCGTTTCCTCCGCAAGAGCGCTGTGCTTATACTGCACCAGCTTCTCGATCTTCACCCAGAACTTGCGCACCTCCTTCGCGATCCCGCTCGCCAGTTTGCGCACCCGCGACTCCTCGTCCCGCACTCTCTTCTGGTCCCGCGCCTCCACGTCTAGTTGCACCTTGCTCGCTTTGAGCGCCCACCGTTTCGCCTGGCCCAGCTTCCACCTCCGTTCTTTCTCAAAGTCCTTAGCGAGCCACGTCATCTCCGCCAGCAAATGCTCCCAGTGCGACTTCCCCGCAACCGCCCCAGCAGGCAACGGTCTCGGGGGCTCCGTGCTAGGCTGTATCTTTCCCCCCAGAGCGATCACCGCCTGCCGCTGCAGAATTTCGTTTGCGCGCGCCATGATTTCCGCGTCCGTTTTCAGCTTCTCCCTCACTGACGGGCGGGGCTTTGCACTGGCGCTCTTGACTGGGGGGACGTAATTGCCTAGGAGCTCAACCAAGTCGCCCGCGCTTCCTGCCTCGTCCGCACTCATCCCGAAGCTTGCGGATTGTGGCCGCAGTTTGCTGCCCCCTCGCGCCTGTCCACTCACAAACCCCTTCTTCTTCTTTCTCTTCTTCCCATCAGCCAGTCTGTCCTCTCCCCTTGTCTTGAGGCCATCTTCCCTTGACTGCAATTCTCCCTTCTCCAACGAGGCCCCAAACTCCGACTCAGACTCTGTCATCCCCGCTTGCTCGTCCTGCTTCTGTACGTCCGCCAACTCTCTACTCTCTGGAAAACTTTCCTCATCCATGAGCACAGCACTCCCCCCGCCGGTCTCACCTCCTTCAGGACCCTTCCGCCCCTGCAAGTGCTTCCGCTTGATCCTGATCTCGATCTTGGGAGGCTCTCCGTCTCGCGGCCGCTTCCGCTTCTTCCCCGGGGGCCGCTCGCCCTGCCGCAACGACGCCCCCTGGGCGCCTCCTCCGTCCCCGGGGGATCGGGACCCCCCCAAACCACCCCCGGACGGCGGACTCACAATCCGCACCCTCAACTTCGGCCTGTCCTTCCTCTCTGCCCCCATGAGATCATGCACGGAGCGCACCCGAGGCCCCTTTCTGTCCAGATCTCCGTCCACACCCTGCCCTGACCCGTCAACCGCAATGCTCCCTTTCCTGGAAGCTCTCCCCTGGCAATCCCCATGCCTCCCACTTCCGCCGTCTCGCTTCTGCCTCCCAGTCTCCATCTTAAGACCCTCATCTCCCTCACTCTCCAGATCTGTCTCATCGTCAGGCTTGACCGTGGCCCTCGCAAGCCCTTGCCGCCTCGGCGTCTCTGAAACCCTCGGTTTCGCATCCGAACCTTCACCTGCGAGTCCCCGCATCCCTTGCTTCAGATTGAAGCGGACAACCATACTCGGATCCCTGGGGCTCCCCCCCTGGGGCTTCGGAGACGCAGGCAGCGCCAGGCAGGCCTCCTTAGTGGACTGCAACCGGGGGGTCCCAACCGGGCTCCGCGGCCCCCCCTGCCGCCCAGGGGATTGCCACCGGGGGGAGCCAACCGGGCTTCGCGGCGTAAGCCGCTTTCCAGGGGGGCTGCCGTTGCTCTTCCCTGCACCCCCCTGGGAAGCGGCATTCAGGTCCAAGGCCGGAAGCGCTGCATTCCGATTGGTGGGGCCCGCCTTCCGAAGCGCTAATCGCAGCTGGCGGGGGGACTTCGGCTCCTGTCTCGACCGCGTGCTCCGGCCTACACCCCCCTGAAGGCCAGCCTGTCCTAGGGCCTGGAGCTCAGACTTGCCAACCCTCCGCCTGGTCTTACTTTCGCCCCCCTTGTTTTGCTCTTCCATGTTCTGCTTCTTCCGGCTCCGCTTTTGTTCGCGGAGGGGGGACTCGGAGTCCAAGATTATGATTTCACCTTGGCCGGTGGCCCCGGCACTTGCGTGATTGGTGCCACCGCTTGAATCCATGGCGAGTCTGCTGGAGGGTCAGGAGCTAAACCCTCGAGCGCTTTGCTAAACCCATACTGACCAGGGCTAGCTGTCGAACTCCGCCAGTCGTCTTAGGGGCGCCAGGTATCTAGGGCCCTGCAGCCAGCAAGTAAGCTGGGAAATTGAGCACAGAAGCTGAAAGTCCACTCAAAGGGACAAAACCATCACATGCCCAGAGTGATATGTGTAGGGACCAGAGATGGATAGCATAGGCTATGCAGATTTTAGCGGTCACCTGTCCAACGATCACCCCATTTTCTCCTGCACCTTTTTGTGAAGAATCTCAATGAACTTGATTGCAGCAGGTCAAAAAAACTCACAAAAGAAACCCCATCATAAAAGGTCATGGCACCACGCTTCCACATGAAAGGACTCGTAGGGGGTTAGGTCAAACTTCGAAGATGAAACTCTCAAGCCAAGAAATGCTCACAAGTATTCTGGACTTCCAAAACTCTGCAGTAAACAAGATCCAATTGAATGTAACGCGTGCAAGTTTGTCCATCTGAATGGAGACAAGTCACCAGCACAAACCTTTGCGGTGCCAATGCTGACAACAACGGCCCTCTTTTCCAGGTGTGCAAGTCGGAGTACAGAACTTGCCGGGCAATTACGTGCCAAGTCATTCCACCTGACTTAGCTGCCCTATGCAGAGGCCGATTGCCAGGGCACGTAAAAGCCATGAAAACGCTTAGCATGTGCATAGAAATGCTGCAATCCTCCAAACCTCCAACTTAGTGACGTTCGCTGCAGTCAAAGGTGCCCGCACACTAGAACCTTAAAGTTCGCAGGGCCATGTTCCCATTGCACAACCACCACTGCTTTGTCTAATTGATGGTCAAAAGGTCCACACATAATCTTTGAAAGGCTTCTCACCAGAGACGTCAGCACATCCTCGCCTTTTTCAACCACGGTAAGGTCAGTATCCTGTCTGTATCATTTACAAAGCCCTCACCAGCTAGTTTGAGCTCTGAATTCAATTGTAAGTCCAGAAGCACTGGCAACACTGGCAACTCACTTCGCCTCCCGTCTTTGAAACCTGCCTGACATTGCCAGCCTCTGCTTCTGATCTAAAGTCCGCCTTCAGACGGAAGAGGAGATGGCTGCGGGCCTTTTAAGCCCTCCAGCCTCAGGGATACGGGTGGCCGATCTCCCCTGCTCTACAGACACATAATGTGACATAATGATGTCAGTGTGGCCCGGGCTGGGGCGACTCAAACTATGCACACCGTCAGATGTGATTTCCACGGCTTCGATGAGTTCATTCTACGAGCGAAGGGTCGGAAGACAGTCCGAGTCTCTGAGCTAGTTGCTTGACACTGAAACAATCACAACCACAACGTCGAAATTTGACGAAGGTTCCGTATCTGGTCGACAAGGATGCTGGTGTCAATTGCCTACAATGGAGCACTGGCACCACGATCATCGGATGAAAGCTACTAACGGTACGTTGTTTTTGGCGACGGTGTAAGGCGAGTCTCGACTACCTACAGCGCGCACGCCGCACGGTACCGTTGAGAAGTGCTCATGAGTCCGATCATGGTCGCCGTAAGCACTTTCAAAGGACGATAGCATGAATCATAGCAAACGAATCGGACGGTCGCAAGAGAGTCCGTCCACCTGATGCGTTGGTTCCGTGGTTGTCGGGCGTGGTTTAGTGTGCCCAAATACCGCTACCAACCGGGGGACTCCTCTGTCCACTGGATCCCGATTCTCAAGAGCTATCCAACCCTGTCAATGCTCAAGCCGGTGGATGTTACCGGGGGGATCCATGGGTTAAAAGGATAAGCAGGTTTCTGGCGGGAACCTCCGGAGCTTGCAAAGCGGTTGGGCTAGGGCAGGCTTTGCCTGACAGGTGGCTTTCGCCTCGTGGTCTGTCCAGCTCAATGCTCGTTTGCTGATTCGTCAGATTCCTTTGCGCCTTTCCTTCAGAAACGCTTCCAAGCTTTCTTTGGCTGCCATCGTCGTTCAAGTTGCCCTTTTTACATTCCGGCGCAGTCTTCCAAGTTTCTACTTGAAAGAAACCTGTGGTCATCAGCAAAATGGCGCTGGCGGAGAGCAGAGAAAACTATGTCTATAGCGCCAAATTGGCTGAGCAGGCGGAACGATATGATGGTAAGTTTGCTTCTCTTGGTTGATACTGATGTTTTGTGTGACCTTGGTATCAATCAATTATGGGCCCCTTAAAGTCACAAAGGCTGGTCATTCATTCGGGTCAATTGCTCTTTTGATGGAGAGTCAACAATCTGGAACGCACTTCTCCGCCTGTTATCATCTCACATCAGCAAACTTCTACTGCTGTGTTGTAATGACCACATTTGTACCAGAAAAGGGGCATTAAAAAAGTTTGCCTTTGAGTTCTGCATGCATACTTCTGATTGGAAAATAGGGGCAAGGAGCAATTGGCCTCACATTCTAGAGAGTCCTTTGAGAAGGCCCTTTGTTTCTCAGTAGAATGAATGAGCTTTTTGTAATACCGGTCGTTTGTCCCATGACTGTATGTCCTGAACCCATTGAGGGTTAAAGCAGGGTTTAATGATTGCACATCTTTGCCCTGGAAATGGAGCTAGGTTTCCAGCAGAGTGAAGGCAAGCTTGCATGTTATGTGAGAGAGTCGGTGACAAAGCAAAATTGAGCTGCTTACAAGTAGACAATATGCTTTAAAAGCATGCCTCGCAGCCAAGCACGCGCCAATTTCTCCAACCGTGCAATCTGTTTCAGAGCTCTCTCTCTGTTTCCAAAATGGTCTAGGAAGTCAAAGCTGCCAGTCGAACATACATTGGCTGCTGATGTATGGCCTCAAAGCAGCTTCTGCATTTGCTGCTGTATCAGTTTGAATCTGCAACCTTTACCGCAGGAGCAGAGGCATTTGCCTCGTTGTCTTAGCTCCCGAGATACTGCAGACAATTTCCTGGTCAAAGGGTTTTGCTTTCTGTATGTACTGCACAATTCAAGGGGGTCCATCTTAGCAAACCAATGCTTCCAGGCTCATTTGACGGTCCACAGTCGACCATATGGGGTAAAGACCGGACTGGTAGCTGGTAGCTTCTGATATCCACCTAGGCACGACTGTCAAGTGGTCTCAACGTTGTGCAAGTCTCTGGCCTATGAGTGATCTGGCCTTTCTGCAGAGTGTCCTGTAACACAAGGCACAATGTGTCCAGGTTGTTTGCATAGTTGAGAAGGATATATGACCCCTTCAGAGACTGAACAACCTCCATCAGGTCTTCGTTAGCTGGGCAACAGTTTCCACCTTGTTTCTGGTTGCATTTTTCAAGGAGTGGAGTGGCACCTCACTTCAAGTGCGACAGGAAGCGATTGTTGGGAGATTTGCTACCAGGTTGTTTTGAAGTGCCCTAGTCGTGCTCTTGTTACGCTCTGTGTCACCTCTGATCTTGAAATTGCAGAACGAATGCCGTCTTGGTACGATGACTTCCTTGCAGAGAAGAGTAAGGTTCTTATGGATTGAGGATATTCTGATCAGCAGCAACTAGTATGCGCACTCTGATCATTTTCATGAAATTCTGACCCTCTGCGCTTTATCCATCTCAGCCCGAGTTGGCCAGAATCATGAAGAAAGGCGGTTCAGCTTGTTTTTGCCAGTATTTCCTCCACCAGTTTGCTTGAGACTTGTATTGAACACAGTGGTTAACCAATTAATTATCTGTAAGAGACGAAATTCATGAAGAGGGTTGCAAAGTTCCCGTAATGTATCCTATTCGGTGTTTGACAGAAGCATCATACTTTCAGAAGACACCAAAAAGAAAGTCTAAACATGAATCACCTAGAATTAGAATTAAAGAGACGCCGTTTGCTTCTGCAGAGATGGTGGAGGCCATGAAGAAGGTGGCCAAGCTAGACGTGGAGCTGACGGTCGAGGAGCGGAATCTCCTGTCAGTAGGGTACAAGAATGTTATCGGCGCACGGCGAGCATCATGGAGGATCATGTCCTCAATTGAGCAGAAAGAGGACAACAAGGGAAACGAGACCAACGTGAAGAGGATCAAGGAGTACCGGCACAAGGTCGAGACAGAGCTTTCAAACATCTGCAATGACATCCTAACCATCATCGACGAGAATCTGATTCCCTCATCAGACACGGGCGAGTCAAAAGTCTTCTACTACAAGATGTGAGCACAACCTTTCTCTCAACCATTTTTCGTGTTGCACTTATCTCTACATTTCTTCCGTTCTGTTGCTAGATCTCTTTGTAATAGCAGGCTAGCACTCCCAATTGATTGGTGGAGGAGCGAGAAATTGCATGTGACACTTGCTGTCCTGCCATTTCACGGGGGCCAGTTTCTGACTGCGAATCTATTGAGTGCAATGCTCATACCTACTTCAGGTTCAGACATGGCTGTTGAAGCTATCAATATTCTGATGTGGTGATACCTGCCCAGCGCAGTGGTTGGTTTGCTAGGCCCCATTGTGCCAACATGCAAACAAAACCAGAAACCGTTCCTTGTCAGTAAGAAGTTACCCGCTGCTCTCCAATGAACTTTGCAGCAAACCGGACCTCCTAGTGCAGGATTGACCATGGATGTAAAGGATGCCTTCAATCCTTTGGGGCGCACTTTCTGTCCTTGCATTGCTCAAGTTGAGTCCTCTCTGATTGAGAATGTTCCAGTCACATCACGCGCCCTTTGCCTGCAGGAAGGGAGACTACTACCGGTATTTGGCTGAGTTCAAGAGCGGGAACGAGCGCAAGGAGGCCGCTGAGAACTCCCTAGGGGCTTACAAGGTGCGATCGACGCCCACCCTGCTTCACATCTCGTGTTCCAATCTCATAGATATGAGAAAGCGGCATCGAAACCAGATTTCAGGGTCTTATGATCTGGTCGGAAGTGCTGTTCGAGTTCACTGCAGTATTTACTTTTTAAGGAACATGGGATGCTGTGGCAGTGTCTTGAGCCAGGCAGGTTGATTGAGGATCCAAAAGTAAGAATACATGCAACCTAAGAAAAGGGCGCCTCGTAGGTAAACACTGAAGGACTACACAATGCATTATAAAGGTTGGAGTTTCATTAAGTGAGTTAATTAACCATGTGACCTCATTAACGATGTCATGAACCCTTTGTCTTTTGTAGATTCAAACTGCCTTCCAGATTGCCTAAGTGGACCTCCTCTTCCACATCCCACATTTCAGCATGCTGGGCTGGCCCTTAACTCCTCTCCTTTTTACGCCTCATAGCCATTCTAGAAACGCTAACCACGTTCTAAACCTCTTTTCTGCGTGCCTTTCCAGGCTGCCTCAGAGATCGCCCAGGTGGACCTCCCCCCCACCCACCCCATCAGGCTGGGCCTGGCCCTCAACTTCTCCGTCTTCTACTACGAGATTCTGAACTCACCCGAAAGGTGAGGCTGGCGGCTCTGATGGTATCTCGAAACTAGAATGTCCTCCCCCTTGGAAGTTCTGCGTTGAAGGGTTTATTATGGGGTCAAGGGTTTCTCGTTTTCGAAGCAGAGAATCTGCTGGGGTTAGAAGGGGGTTACTCGCTAAAGTTTCGATCTCGGTCAACGTGGTCAACCCGGTAAGGGTTTCGGCAAATAGGATCACGAATAAAAATGCCTTGCCGTTTTATGAACATGTCATGTCAATAAGGGAGGCAAAGATTCTTGTGTGTCGCAAGGCTTTGGATGGTGCTTGCTTAGGAAGCCTAAGTGCAGATGCCCTCTCACTATCCTCACTTGCTGGCCTGGAAGAACTCGTCGTTGCTAGCAGGTCTTAGTGTAGGAATGCTACCAGATGATCTCACTCAATGTTTCTGATTGGAAAATCAAATCGTAATCCAAAGATACCCTTTTTCTCATGGTGCCAGCTGGCAACCAGGCGTTTGACGAGGCGATCGTGCATCTGGACACACACATACTTACTTCGATCTCTCCAAAAAGAAGGAACACTCAACTGGCCCGTCCCCCGTTCTTCTAGGGCGTGCAACCTGGAAAGCATGTGTTTGACAAGGCGAATGCGCAGCTGGACACACAACGCAAACACGACAACTCCCCCGACTAAGAAAATGTGTGGAAGTTAACCCGCCATCCCCGTTTCTTCCAGGGCGTGCCACCTGGCAAAGCAGGCGTTTGACGAGGCGATTGCGGAGCTGGACACGCTGAGCGAGGAGTCGTACAAGGACAGCACGCTCATCATGCAGCTGCTCAGGGATAACCTCACGTTGTGGACGTCGGACCTGCAAGAGGATGCCGGCGATCAGGCCGCCAATGCCGCTGCCGGAGGGGAGGGCGCCGCGGCTGAGCCTGAGGGCAAGCCCGCTCAATAGCCTGGTGGGTTTGTGGGTTTGTCCCCTCTAAGCATCGTTTTCGTTTGGCGTCAAATCTGCTCAACGCAAGGCATTGGACGGTCCGAAAGTCCCCTCCGGCTTCTGCTTCGGCCAAGTAATATGATTGCCGCCAGAATACTTGTATTATGCCCAGTTTGGAATGAGAGAACCTGCTTGGGACGGTTGGGGTTAGTAGGGTGTTTTGGGCGGGGACGGGTGTCGGAGCTATTTGGCCCCAAGTTCCAGTGTGAGCGGCGTCCTTATCATTAGTGGAGCTTAACCGACCGATTCTAGAGACAGATGTCTGTAGCTTTGCTTCATTCGAGCGCTTTTTGGTCACGAGTAACGGCAAGGTTCATGATTATTAGACGGCTGTTAGTGGAAGGGGAGAGCAAGGGCGAGCCAGCAAAGGAGCCCAGCGAGCTTTCAGGTCCTTGGAAAAAGTTTGGTCGCGTGCTTGCAAGGTTTGTGACTGGTCGCTGCCAGCAAATCCTTATGCTCCTCTGGGAAGACTGAAGTTGGAAGTTCTTAGACGCACGTAGATGCGACTTCTAAAGGTGCTCTGCTTCTTGGTCCATGCTTTGCATCTATGGTGACCTAAAGGAGATTCTCGTGCAGCTTGGTTGGCGTCTGTGTAGGTTTGATTGACCGGAGGAATGCTCGCTCCTCAATCACGAACATCTATTTGTACGGCCTTGTCTTATCCTGCCAGTCAAGCTAGGAGCGCTTGGGATAGACAACGTGCTGAAATCGGACATGTTCGACTTGCAGGGTCTGAACTAATTGTAAACTTTTCCTGCACGAAAGTAAGAGCGTCATGCAAAGCAGAGTACTGGTTCGGGGAGGGGCCAAGAAAATGTAAAGGGAAGGTTATGAAGGGATGGGTCGTATCATCACACAGCCGGCCATATAGCAGCGATTTCCGGGCTGGGGCCAATGCATATCTCAGATGTCAAAAGACAACCTGAGCAGTTTGAAAGAGCTCCAGATGGCATCTCTATACTCGAATGGAACTCTTAAAAGATTTCGGATGAATGGGGTCTTGGACCAAGTCTCGTTTCTTGTGCAACGTATTGTGCATACGTGGTGAGTTTCCCGATTGTCAGCTTGCTAGAGCCCTGATTTCTTTTGGACTGTGCTAGTTTGTTTCTGGCGGTAATCAAGGACGTATGACACACACGATATATATTGAAAACTTTCCACATCATGTGTGAGGGTTAGGTTCCGCGTCGACCGAAATGGCTGAGCGCTCATACCCGGTCGCGACGACCAATTAGAACGCTTCAATGGATCACGTGGTAAAAAATGTACAGACCTAGTACAAGTTTTAGCTGGAGCGGTACTATCCAAAGCTGTACGCGGACCGGAGATGCGAAGCTGGCGAGCCAAGCACTTTTCGGTCGACGCGGAACCTTACCTATAAACAGTAGCGCACATGGTATCTGGTGTTCAGCAGCCATGCATTAAGCAAAGCATGTACGATACTGACTGAGCACACATGCATGTTGAAGTTACTCTTGCCTGGAACTAACTTAGACCTGCTTCCATGCTCTCACCTGGTCGATCATGCTGACATGCCGCTCGATCTGACGGCCAATGCCACATATTATGATCGATATAGCATGGTGTACGTGCATCAGTGAGCCTGGTAATGGCAATTACTAATTGCGCCGCGGGAGTACCTGTAGCTTAGTAGGCCGCTGCAATCCATGTTGCCTGGCGGCAGGGCTATATGCAGGCACAATGATGCAGCGCATGCATGGGCACCGTACATGGTCATGGTGGCACGCGCCAGGGGCCGGCGCGGACAGAGTGCATGTCATTTGCATATCTTAGCTATAGTATAGAATTATATATATGTATAAGTGAGCCTGGAAATCGGACCGTCTGTAGCATGCGACACAATCCTGCACAGTCGGACATTGCCAATCTGGATCAATACTAGTATGGCTCGTCAAGTGTTGCAACTTGCCAGTTGTTGCATGAGTCCAGCCGCTGCTAAGTTTCTCACAGTGCCGTGCGGAATCAGAACCGCCATGATCTTCAGGCTTCTTAAATGCATGCACGTAGTACTTTCACTGAAACTGCAGTATGTTATGAGCAGAGACTTGAATCGAGAATGTATCAAAACCGCGCGATCGGTACTTGCAAAGTACAGCGGCCCTGCCCGCAGCGTCTCAGTGGGGGCCCATGCAGGACACTCCTAGCCTTCTATGTTGTTCTACATACATCCAACTCTTTACACTGACCACTACGTACATTCTGCTTCGGTAGGTTTCTTGAATGCATGCACGTAGTACTTTCCCTGAAACTGCAGTATGTTATGAGCAGAGACTTGAATCGAGAATGCATCAAAACCGCGCGAGTACTTGCAAAGTACAGCGGCCCTGCGCGCAGCGTCTCAGTGGGGGGCCATGCAGGACACTCCTAGTCTTCTACGTTGTTCTACATACATCCAACTCTTTACACTGACTACCAGATTCTGCTCCGGTCGGTCTACTCACCGGGTTCGTGCATGCAGTTTAAATACAAAAAGTTGAGACTCAACGCTCATCTAAGGCCTCACGACTACCCGTCCTATGACAACTTGAACCGCTGTGCAAGTGCGCTGGTCTCAGCCGTAATCATGCAGCGGAAGATACCCACGGCCTTCTTTTGAAACATCTGGGGAACTCGTCAAGTGGGTCAATTATCTAGAAGCGATGGAGGTCCCCGTCGTCCCTACTGTCGAAGCAACTACTGTCCGTAAACGAACCTTTCTGCACCAACCCGGCTTGTTGCCTCCTCGAACAAGCCCACAACTGCTTCCTTCGGCCCAATCCGGATTAAGACGAGGCCTGCACTTCTCCGTCCTTTGGTAGGATTATACGTTGGAGGACCACGCCCAACATCGTTTTGTCGAGGGGTTTGCTGAACATAGCAAACACTAGGCTCAGTCGAGGGAAAAGACGGGGTTGACTGCTCACGTGCTCAGCTGGACTAGTAAGACAATAACTATGAAAGAGGTTCTTGTCTCGTACCAAACGATTATGAAAGAGGTTCTTGTCTCGTACTTAGCGATAAGGCATCTAGATAAAGAGCAGGCCATAGCTGGCGTCTGAAAACCTGGACGTCCCAAATCTATGGACAGATACCGGGTGGACGGGTACCATAAGGTTCACCGGAGGCTCTAGTGGACACACACATAAACCACCAGCGAGCTATTGAAAGCGATCTTTTGTGTGGGTGAAGCGTGTCAGGACCTCGGCTCTTTCCAAGGACTAACAGAACCCTGAACTCGGAAAGGCACCCCCGCAAATTCTATGGAAACCGTTCCCGCTTATTGACATGTCTGCGCTTTCGAAGGGAAAAAGGTCCGGAACCAGGTCGATGAAGGATAAGGATTGGGAATCGCACTTGCAAACAGGCCCGGTACTCACCTTAAATACTCGTCCATGCCCGCCCCGATGCATTTCTCCCTGGTGCCTTTCATCACATCTGGAATCAGAGGCGACGGGCAAAGAATTAACGGAATGTCGACGGTATTTACGAACCGGCGCCCAGCACAGAGCTCCCGCAACCAGCGGCAAGAATCAGAAGGATTCCGAAGGTATCACCCAAGAATGTTTACACGGGCAAAGAATCAGCTAAATGTCGATGAAAGTATCAAACCGGAGCTCAGCACAGAGCTTGCGCAACCAGCGGCAAGACTAAGGAGGTTGGAGCGTCGAGAGAAAAAAGACTCTTTTCTTTTAGCACAGCCCACTCCTTCTCGCAATTCATTAGTGGTTTTGGTGTGCCCCACCTTGTTCAGAAGAATCTCTTAAAATGGTAGAGTAGGAGCCAAAGATACCATTCCTTTCTCACCTGCAGTCAACGCAATGATGGGCACCCTCGAGTACCACGGGTGTAGACTCTCCACAATTCCGACGGGCGCCGTCTTCTCTAGCTCGCCGCTTTTCCGCAGGTTCGCGCCGTTGTGCCGCCACGGCCGGTTGGAGTGCTTGTGGGCCCCGCCATCCCGCTTACGCCCGCTGACGTCAGCGTCGTCGGGCCCGGTCGCAGGGCCCGTCGGAGAAGCCAGAGGGCCGTGCATGAACTCGCCCTCGAGCTCACGGATCCTTGCGGTGGCAGTGTAACCGTCCTGGGTAAAGAGTAAACCGAGCGATTTGATAACGAGGCATTCAAGGAGAATGCATAGGATCCAGGGAGTTCGGAAACCAAGATTCTTGCATCTGAACTCGGCCTCGAGCTCATGGAACCACGCTAAGGCGGTGTAACTATCCTGGTTACAGAATCAACCAAGCAAATAATGGCTACGAGGGGGAAGGGACCAAGGGTATCCTTGAAACCTGGGCGGCTAGAAAACAGGCGATCTCGCATATGAACTCGGTTTCGAGCTCGCAAACCTTAAATTGTAATCCTGTAACCATCTTGCGTTGGGAATGGTGTCGAAACTGGGTGAAATCTCGCTCATGTCAATGAGCTGGATCGAAAAGGGTCAACTGAGTTCGGGAGCAACAGTTCTATCGAAGGGGCCGTGCAATGTGCATGATTGGGGCGTACAGAGCAGGAGATGGGGATTCAACTTCCAGGATCATGGAATCTTCGATTGTACACGAGCAGACGGAGGAGCCCTGATGATGCCAACCTCTTGAGAATATCTCCGCGGATTCCGGGTGCTCGGTTAAGAAACTTGATGTGCAATCGAACGGTTTCGATGATCATCTAGACAGCGTCCAAAGCGGTATTTGTGCAGCAGACCTCCGACGACGATCGTGAGACGAACCAACCGCACAGAAGTCTGGGCGCAGTCAAACAGGATTTGGACGCTCTGAGCCAGATTCGGACGCTTCCAAACAATCTTCAGTTTGATCCCGGACGTCCGCTCACCATCCCCGGCATTTGGACGTCCATCAGGACCGCGTGGTACCGATCCGCGCCCTGCCCGTCCGCGCCCGCGAGCGTCGCCAAGTACTCCCGGAACAGATCGATCGCCTCCTGACCGCTCGCCGCACACACGACCGCACACCCATACCGCTCGAGCATCCTGCTCGCAACCCGCCGGTTGATCATCGCATCGTCCACAACCAAGATCCGTTTTCCCGCCAGAACCCCGACCGCCGAATCTCCGTTTGGGAGGGTGCTGGTGCTGCTCTCCGGGGGGTTGGTAGGCTCGCCCGCCGACTTTTCGGGGGGGCCGTTGCCGCAGTCTTTTGAGGTGCCAGAAACGCGACAGCAAGAGGGGGTGTGCTGCCCCGCCTGGAACAAGCACGTCACCGCCGTGTGTAGACTGTCCTGTTTCAGGGGGGTCTCCAGGATCGCCGCCCAGCCCAGCTCCTGGGCTCGCTTCGCCACGTCACCCCCCCGGTCCCGGACCACCGCCGCTAATATCACCGTGTTGCCCCCCCGGCCCTTGAACCTCTCCCGCAGCTCTGACGTGAACCCCCCCATGTCGAGTATCGGCACGCCGTCGACGTCCACGACCAACAAATCCACCGGCGCCGTGCTGGGGGGGTCCAAGCTAGAGTCCACGATGCCCCCCCGCTCGTCCTCAAAGAAACTCACGGAGCGCGACCGCCCGCCGAGCAACTGGACTTCGTCCCCTCCCCCCGGTGCAAAATGTCGGCAATTCCGAAGTCTTCTGGGAAGCGGACGGACTGAGATTTGCGGCGGGGTGTGCCGTTGGTTTCTCCAGGATGGTAACGTTTGCTCCGGCCAGGGAAGCGGGCGCTAGACCCGACGAGGGGCTGTGTCTCCGGACCGAGCCGTTCGGAGTGCGCGGAGAAGCCCAAGCGACGGAGGTAGGTCGCAATCGCCTCGGCTTTGACGGGGCTCTTGGCGAGGACCACAGCGTTCTTGTCGGTGAAATCTGTACAAAAATTGGAGTAATTCTTAAAAGAGTAAGGGGAGATCTGTAAGGGCAAATAAAAGCTGGTCAATGGAAGGGATATGAAAAGCTCTGAAGACACCACGAGGCTAGATACTCGGAATCCTCGAGCAGAGGAGACACCTTGAAACGAGAAACTCGGGAACGCCAAGTAAGGTTAACCGATGGCAGTCGTGTCTGAGGGGTCTTAGGGCACAACGAGTGTCGGTCAGTGACAGCAGCAAAGAACAGCAGAGAACAAAGAAGCGAACGAGAACAGCTAGGGACCTTGGGAGATGTTCAACGACGACAATCTCCTCGGTGAAACCCTTTGGGAAAACTAGCTTCGATCAACAGAAGCACAAACGAAGAGCAGAAAAGGCGAGGGATCCTTTCGTGGCCTGTTAAGAACTTACTCGAGGCTGGGGTCAGTTGGTACCCCGGAAGAACGGTCGGTGTGGCAGGGGTTTCGGAGTCAACTCGGTCAAGGCTGACGTCAAACTGGAAAAGGCTCCCCCGGCCCAGTTTGCTGGCGACGGCCATGCTCCCGTTCATCAGCTTGGCCAGGCGGTGGGAGATGTTGAGCCCGATGCCGGTGCCGCCAAAGTTTCTGCACAGATAAGAAAGATAGACTTGTTGAGAGAGTGTGCTAAATGATTCACTGGGCGGGAGTGCATGATCGTTCAAAAGATTCGGCAGAGAAAATCCAAGTGAAGTTTGATCACTTTGGTCGCTGCCAAAACTCTGAGAAGTTAAATAGGCAAATATTGAGCAAAGTCCAATCAGCCTAGCAACGCGCGACTTCACCACCAAACGAATAGATGAATCGGGTGGCTCCGCATCTGACAAATACAGAGCAACTGCTCGCCTTTACCAACATAGAAGGTAATCTTTTAAAGCCTGCAGGAGTAGCGAACGTCAAAGCAAAGACAAGACTATCGGAAGCGAAACGGAATGATCGTCTCGAACTAGCTTCACAGCCCACACCCAAATCAGATCAAGCACAAAACATTGACAAGACGAAGCAAACAAGCGATGGTCCCATCCTGCTGACCTGCTGGTGCTGCTGTCGACTTGGCAGAAGGGCTTGAAGAGACGGTTTCGCGCCTCAATGGGCATCCCGATCCCAGTGTCCTGTAAAGGCAAAGATCCGCTTGGATGAGCAGTTGACACACTTGAGCTCATTGGCAGGTCGTCAGCTATTCAAAGAGTAAAACTTGCCAGACTCATAGGTAAGCAGCAAATCGGCGCTTTCCAAGACAATGGGTCTTGAAGTTACCCTGAACAACGCAGGGTTTCAAAGTAGTAGACACAAGGAAGGGGTTCGGTTCCTTGCTGCTCAGCTTCCTTTTCATCAGCTGGGGCGCCGAGAACTGTAAGCGACATCAGCCCCTCACCTCCACAGTGAACACCACCTTGACGCTCTCCCCCTCCTTGAGCATCGCCGCCGCCTCGCGCCCCGCCTGCTGGAACCGCCTCACTTGCGCCGTGCTATTCACCCGCGGCTCGTTGTTCAGGCTCAGATGCACAGCCCCGTCAACCTCCAAACTATTCAGCGCCAGTTCGTCCAACCACCTAACCTCGGAGTTGCCCACTTTGTTAAACCCGTCCTCTACGTCTGGACGGGTCGCTTCGTCGGCCCCCGCTTGCGGCCCGTTTGCTTGGGGGGGCGTGGGTCCGCTCTCTTTCCCCGGATCGTCGTCCCCCCCAAAGGGTTTCCGCCGCCGCAACATCGTGTCGGAACTGGCAAGCGCGGCGGTTTTGCGGCCTTTTCGGAGGAAAGCAAGCAGGCCGCGTTGGCTGGAATGTGACCCGTCCTCGGAGGGGTTGGGAGCGGTTGAGAGGTCGGAATCGGACTCTAGGGACAGCTTCGGAGCGGGCTCGATGTTGAGGGAGACGTGGTCGCTGCGCCGGGGGGGGGGGCGCAGCTGAACCGTGATGAGGACGTTGCCTGCCTCCGTGAACTGGGGGAGAAGCAAGGAGCAACGTGTGAGGCGTGGCAGACATGGCACGACACAAGTGTGAAGGAAGTCGAATGTCTATTTGGTGGAAATTCATATCAAGAGTAGGGTCAAGGAGCGAGCCACCTAAAACCATGCTGCAGACCACCCCTTTCGACTTTCTGGAACACTCAACACTAAGTTGAAACCTCACTTGAGTGCGTTGCTGAGAAAGTTCATTGACACGTGCAAAAACACTACTGACAGTCGCTTCAAGCTCAGATCTTCTCGCCCCCCGTAGGCACTTCGCCAGACCCCGAAACAGGAACTGATCAGAACCCTAGGATTGGAGCGCGTTGCTAACAAGGTTGACCAGGATTTAATGCACGGGCATGGGGTCTCCGACCTGTCTTCTCGGCACTCTTAAAAAATCAAAGCAGAAAACCTGTCATAGAAACGCGACGAGACCCTTCAAACGGATAAGTACACAAACCTCACCTTGAGTGCGTTGCTAACTAGGTTGATCAGGATCTGGCGCACGCGCACAGGGTCTCCGACCAGTGTCCCCGGAACCGCGTCCTGGACAACCGCCGCCAGCTCCAGGTTCTTCTGCCGCGCCTTGTCGCTGAACAAGCCGAGGACCGTCTCGACTGTCTCGCGGATGCTGAACGACGTGCACTCGATCTCCATGTGGCCTGCCTCGATCTTGCTCAGATCTGCACGAGAGTCAGAAAGACCCGTTTTAAATCGGGAAACTCCCAAACAGGGTTTCTTGCAAGCTTTTCTCTGCTAGATGTTTACAAGACTCCACCAAATTCTTTTCGTGGAAAGTGATGAACCGAGAAAAGCATGCTTCTACTAAGATGCAGTCAATCTTTTTGTGCCTCAGGTCGGTAGGGCTCAGATCTGCACAAGAGGTCGTGAGCTTTTGGAACTGGGAGGCAACGAACTCGATTTCTGACTGGTTTCACAAACAGGGTTGTTTTCTAGAACCTTGCACTTTCTGCCCAGGACAGCCTTGACATTAGTAGACAGAGTGAGTGATGACCTCCGTTTGAGGAGGTGCAACAAGTCTTCCATGATTAGTCCCGCTCGGGTTCTCTCAGAAATCAGGTTCCACAAAGCCTCTTGTGTTTCGTGGCCCTGGATCGATTTTGGGGCTCTCACGCACAAGGGAGTTTGACTTATGGCTTTCCAAAGAGGGATATTGCAGGGAGAACCAGTAATTGCAAGGGACTGCAGCAAAAACCAGTATCTGCAAGGGTTCACCTACTTCATACTCAAATCACGTACTGGGACGAGTATTCAGGACCAGAAAAACGAAGTCCAGACATGCGCACGCACGGCCGAAGCGTATAGACAGTGCCGGGGATGCTTCAACTCACCCAGGACGTCGTTGATAAGGGCCACCAGCGCATCCCCGCTGGACATGGCTGTCTTGACGTACTCCTGCTGCCGAATGTCCTGCATGGACAAGATACCGGCAAGGTATGATTCCGAATGATTAAATAATTGTTTGCCTAGCGGAAAGCTGGAAACCCAAATTTTGATTCGGAAAGTGAAATTTCGGATTCAGAAAATAATTGGTCGAGCACGGTCGGAAACTTAAAGGTATCAACCGGTCACTTCAAAAGCAACTTGTCTGGGGCAAAAAGGTGCTCGAAAGGCTCTCCAGGGGATATTCGGATTCAGGGTCGTTAAATAGGTCGCCAAAATTGGTCGTATTTGATTAAATAATTGTCATTTTCGACCATTCGGAATCATAACGTGCCGGTGCGGTAGATGTCTTTCAGGACTGAACCAAGGATCAGTTTGAACCTCGAAGAAAGGATATCAAATGACCAGAGTGCATTTGAGTACCGTCTGTAAAGCTTTTCTTCTAACACACCATGCACCCATTCTTCCAAAGCATGAAGGGCTGATAGACTGGCCGAGACCAATCCCTCGAAAGCATGATGTTCCGAAAGAGCTTCTCGTGAGTGTTCTGATTGCGGTAAGCTGCCAAGTGCGGGTCCTCAGCTTAACACAGATTGCTTGCGACCTGAGCACAGGACGCTGAAGTTTTCGGAATGAGAGGGACGCCAGAACCGCGTCAAATCAAGTCAGCCACATGAGCGTTTAGAGCAAAGCCTCCTCACCAGCTTGGTCTCTCCCAGCAAGCCAATCATTCCCAGGATACCTGCAATGAAAGACGAGTTTGCATTTGGAAGTGTAAGGTCATGAGCAGATACCAGCCTAGACAGCAACCGACACCTAACACATGACTACGGGAGCTTTACCGCGCCAGTCATTTCAAAGGAGGCGACCAAACATCTTTGGAATTCAGCAGGCTGAGTTTGGAGTTTGAAAAGGACTCCACTTTTGGTTGCTGTGTGCACTGCAGCCCTCCTTACCGTTCATTGGCGTCCGGATCTCGTGCGACACTGCATGAGAAAACAGCAATTGGTCAGGTACGGAAGACGCGAAGTACAGCTCTAAAAGCTTCAGGAATACAGCCCGTCCTAAGTTGTAAAAGGCCACATCTAGAAAAGGCATTCAATAGAATCCAAGCATTGCGGGTTTTAGAGCTAACGAATTGACACATCACAAAGCACAACAGCGCTTAAACCACACTGTGCTTGTAACAATCCCAGAAGCTGTCCTGAAAAAGTAGTTGGAAGCAGAAAAAGTAACTCGTCCTCACCAGTTGCAATGAAGCTCGATTTGGCTGCATCAGCCGCCTCCGCCGCTTCCTTGGCGGCCGCCATTTTCGAATTCAACTTGGCAAGCTGCAAAGGGGGCCCAGGGGATGCATCAGAAGAAGGACATGCCGATTGTCAGCATGTGAGCGAGCTTCTGACGACAGTGCTCTCTCTATGGAGCTCTGGATGCATGCATGCAAGCTATCCATCGAGTTGACTTAGACTTCCATCAGATCTTCGATCATTAAATCCCCCAAAACTCTGTACTTTGTCTGCAACGCTTTTAGAGTTGACAGTTGCCACGCTGAAGCCCTCTCACTCACGTACAAGACGAGCTCTCCACACGGACGAACTACCTGATGCTTTGGACAAGTCAACCGATTAGGCCATTGTGATATACTGGAGACCCTGAAGAGTAAGCTAAGTACTCCAACTTTGCATTTGATTGCCCTCAGAACATGCCGTTGCCTTGGCCGTTCGTTTCAAGTCCTCCTTGTCGCGAAAGCTTCATCAGCTAGCAACTCTCACCTCGGCGACTTCCTTCCTGGCAACCTTCATTGATCGTATGGAGAGGCCGACAATCACAAAGAGCAGAAAGGCCACGATTGTGAACAGCACCCAGGTCCACCCTGCAGCAACAAGAAGACAGGAGAAAGATCAGAAAGAAGATTCTGATCAAATACCTTGCTCCAACCAGCTTTTTCCGATCGATTCAGACTTTCTCAATTGCACGCTAATGAATCTCCTTAAGCAACAGAGGAACAAGAGAAGGTTCGCTCAAAGTGCACCCTGCTTGACCAAGGAGGGCGCAAACAACACCCCTGCTCGGATGAACGACGAGCCTTCTTCAATCCAACTACTTAAAGTTTAAGTTAAACCACAAAAGAAGTGAACCTGCTTGGGCAATATGTAAAAGGACGAAGCTAAGTCACAGTGCAGTGCACCAGACCACAAAAGGCTGTGTTGCAGAAACCCTCCCAACTGCATTACTGACCTTCTTCAAATTGACAAGAAGCCTTTTCTAGCTCAGAAGAGCATCGATTGAAGGCGGCGAGAAAAAGAAGAGGCTTGATGATTGAATATTTTCTTAAATCCAAAAACCCTCCATCCAGTTGACTGGGAGTTGACTGGGAGCCTTGTCTAGCTTGCGTAGGATAGGGAAGAATCATCTTGGGATGCTTGATCAGAGCGCTCACCTGCTTTTACGCCCTCAAAGAAGGGCATCTGGTCCTTTTTGCACTGAATCTGGTACATGCGCTGGCCGAACGTGAAGGTGCGCAGGTGGTCGTAGTCCCACCTGTTAGAGTTGTCCGTCAAGTTCCCCGCATCCTACAAAAGTGAGAACGAAGGGTTCAGCAGAATCCCAGGACTCAAGAGTCTGTTGCTTCAGTGGACAACACCCCGTGGGTCAAAATTTGGAAGAGATAAGACTAAAGAGCCAGGGGGATCACTTTTGACAAGGTTCACGGTGGGGCCTATCCTGACATCCCCAGAGCGCGTGCAGCTGGTATCTCAAAGCAAAACCCATCAATTCCGCCTTCAGTTACAATATGTGCAATCTACCTTTTAGACTCTCCAAAGGGCGAACCAAAACACCAAAGAATGCAAAGACCAAAGCAAACAACGTTCTTCCTAAACCATCTCCCACTTGTGAATCATGATGCCCCTGGGCACCTTTAAAATGAGTTGGGCTTGACACCGGTGCAGGACAGACATCAGGTGAGACACCAGCCGCCATCTGAGAGTGAGACTTGATCAACATGAGAACACTTCAGGAACATCAACAGGGTGACCTCAATGCAAGACCCCTTGTCTCCAAAAACTTGAACATGCACCTAAGGATTCAATGCAAGGGGGCTCCCCTTAGCATTACATACTCACAAGCCTGATCGCCTAGCTACCGCCAGCTTGCCTTCCAGTTCTCTGAAAGGCTGCCATGTAGTTTTGAATTAACGTGCCTGCTTACTCTGCTACCCACCGCAGCGCAAGCAACACGGGACCCATACCCCAGTGCATATAACCTTGATGCTCCCTGTTTTCGTTGTCAGTTTGTCACCAAGGATTCCCAAAATCTCTGTCTGCTGTTACCTTCTTGTGGCTCTGCTTCGATCCTGAAATTCTTCAGGATCTGCTAATGCAGCAAGACAGGATCGGACGCATACCTGTCTGAAGAGCTCGCGGTCCGTGGTTGGCAGCAAGAAGAGCTCATCGTCCGAGACGTCATACGCGCGCAGCGTCAGGTGGCCTTCATCAAACGGCCGTAGCGCGTCTGCAAAGATTTCTCCCAGATCAAAGAACGCCGTGATCACGCCATACAGGCTGTCCCGTCTCCTCTGGACTGTGGCATTCAGAACCTCCTTGTCGGGCAGGCGATACACGGGATAGAACAAGAAGAAGCCCCTCGTTCCATAAACGTCCCCCGCAGGAGTGGCCCGAGGAATGCCCGTATCACGCGCCGTGTACATATAGTCCGCCAGGACCGTTGTGCTCAGATCGTACCCATATAGGCTGGCATTGGTTGCTTGCGGATCATCGCCATACAGGTATATAACGACGTAGTAGATGCTCGAGCTGTTTCTTGGCAGCGGCATATAAGTCTGGTTCCGATAGAAGGAGTGGACCTCCGCCCCTAGCTGCGCCTCTATCGCTGGCCTGTCAGCATCCACGACCCGTTGAACCCAGTAGAGCGAGGGGGTGTAAGGGCGAGTCCACACTGTCTCGTTTGCAAACTGAGTAAACTGCGTCGAATTTGGCATGACTGCTTTCATAAGCCCTCCGAAGACCCCGGTCGCGAGGAAGTTTGTCCTGAATAGGGTTTGGATGGCCTGCACAGCATGAAAACAACGATACACTCACTTCATACCGTGACACTCCCCAGCGAAGACAAGAAGTCTCAAGGTAGCCTGATTGCTGATTGCATCATACTGTAGCCTGATCAAAAAGCTACGAACTTTCCCAAGCATCTCTGGATCAGCTCTTATGGACAGTTTTCACTCTCTGTCAAATCTTGGACACTTGCTGCGATGGCTGAATTCTGCTGACTGCCTTGAGCACAGCAAATCTTCAGCAACCTTCAGAACTAGAGGGACGATGCCAGAGGCAACCTCCCTAAAGTGACCATTGATGCAAGCAATCTGCATAATCTGCAACCTGGCCCACTGAATCTGGCACACCAGATTCAGATAGTCTCCAACATCTTGCACACAAGCAAACCTACACTTGTGCCACATGGTGCTTCCTTGCAAGGCGCCAAAGGAAAGCCTTGTTAACTACAAACCCCCTAGAACGTGGCCCACAAACTCTGGCATACTGCACTTGGGATGTCTTTCAAGACCTGGTCAGAGGTAAGAATTATGCATTCCACCTTGTAACCTTTAGGGTTCCAGCGGCTTAAGTAGTGGGGACGAACTTGAGTAACTTCTCAACTTTGCCAAAGAAACCCTATTGAACTGTTGCAGCTACACCCTCACCTCGAAGCGAGTGTCGCAGTTCAAGACGAACTGTTCGGTCCATTGTTGCCCTAAAAGGAGAGAAAGCATTCTCAGCATCGCGAATGTACCGCTGAATCATGCTTAATCTGCTACTAAATTTCACGCATAGGCAGAGTAGTGAATAAGGTAGCCTTGCCAGCTCACTTGCTTCCAAATGGGTACTGAATCTCCACACAACGATCGTCCAGAAATCAATGTGGTCAAGGAGCCCATAGACGCCCTGCTCGACAAGATCCAACCAGACCAAGTACATTATCTGCTTGCCATTGCACCTTTGTCCCCAACCTCCAAGGGTAACAGGGCCTATCTTTCTCGCCAGTCAACAAAGCTCCCATCCTCAACAACAAAGCAATTCGACAGGCAGTGTCAAAATGAAACCTAATCAAGAAAGACTTGGATGAAGAGATCCACAGATGGGACATTAAGCATCCCTAAGATACAAGCGTGTCTTTCAAGACAAGAGTAGTTCCTGCTACTTGATGTGGAGGGCTCGGGAGCAATGTCAAAAAACCGGTAAGTGAACCGTGCTCTGGCGTTCAACTTTGAGAGCTTGCTTACCTGCAGTGGCATACAAGATGAGGCCAACGACCACAAACAGCAGTATCAGAGCGAGCAGCCAGAGCAAGAGCGCCACCGCCTTCGAACTCCAGATTGGCTTCGCGCGCAGCTCCCGCAGGCACTCTTTAGCAGACATGTCTTTCCAGGCCACCATTGTGGGGCTTGATGGCCTAGACTAAGCTTCTTGCAATCCTCCCTGCTCCTCAGGCCTACTGGAGCTCATGCTAGCAGGGCATCTCACTGGACCACCACAAAACCTCTCGCAAACCTCGTGCCTTAGCTCAGGGGTTTCCTGTGTCCCGCCAAACGTAAAAACAAACCCCGAAACGATATCGCCCTTCAGCTAGCGTCCTCCCGGAAACCTTGACTCTCTACAGCCTTTCACTCGCCTCAATCTTTGCTCCGTCACCTAAGCTGTCACTTTCCTCAGAAGAGCCTTGTTGCCGTCGCCCTCATCGCCTGCACCGTTTCCTGCTTCTTGCTGGGCCAGAAAATCTGTCACCTTCAGAAGCTAGCGGACTGAACATTGCAAGTTGCTGCCAGCTTGGCAGCTTGCAAAACGCAGACTGCACATCAAAGCAGACTCAGTTGCCTTGCCCAGCCTGATCCCCGACAACTTCCACGTTGTGAACAGCTAGGAATCAGGATTGCCTTGTAATTTGAGGATGAATCACGCCAGGCGCGACCCACGTGCGGTAGGTACCCTCTCCATGAGTCTTCTTTCAACTGAGGTACCGGTACCCACAGTCTAATTTCAACTGACGAAACCCTACAACCGAGCCCGACAAGACTCATACCGTAGGTAGTATCCTAGGCTCTGGCACCTTGCAAGTGCCACCCTGGTCAGCGCGGCCGTATGCTGCCGTAACCGTACCTACCTACTTTCTCGGGTTGTAGACTGGGGACTCGGGAGCACTGCACCTTATCCCACGACCGG